TTCTGCCCTTAGAGGACCAAGGCCGAGCAGCCGCGTGATTCGCGCAAACTTTAGGAGGGGCAGCTCAGCGCTGTCCGCTTTCAGTCTCCCGCCTGTGGAGACGCTGGGGGCGGTCGCTTTTGCCGCCCATCAGCCCGGAGCGAGGCGCTACAATCCCTGTGAGGGCCTCGGTGGTCAGGGCAGCTTTGGGGCATCTCTGCCGCCTGGCTGTCCAGACCTCGGCCGTGCCTCGATATTACCTACCATGCCCTTTGGCTGGACGACGAAGCTGGTGACGACGAGCAGCATCACACAAATTGGAGAATGGGAGGCGACGTGACATGCGAGGTTGGTCGAGGAAGCAGGTGCAGTACCGGGGCATCGCAGAGTGCGTCAACATGAACGAGGAAGTCAGTCAGCCTGGAAACCAACCACCTGGTCAACTCAATATCAAGGCTGCATCGTCATTGTGCCAAACAAGTCTCTGTTCATGATTCATTCGAAGGTGTAATAGGCCACTGATAAGCATCTTTGCCAATATCAAAACAATAATCCGTTCGCCGTGCCATGTCCTGCCAAAAGCCACAGGGTTTCCACAAACTAATCCGATGCCTCGTAATTCGTACCGAGTCCCTCCAGCGCACAGAGGATTATCTAACCCCTCTCCCTTGTCCTGCAGCTCTCCTCTTATTCGTCGTCGTCGATAGCATCGTAGCAATATACATATCCTCTGATACAATACTCGTACAAACAGCCGCAGTTCGTCGCAGCTAAAACACCTTATACTCTTGTCGAAACCATGCCACACGGCTCGGGCGCTCATCTGCTCGGACAAATGTCTCGTCCAGCACTGTTCCAGCCAAGATTGGCAGCATCGAGTCTCATATCGTCCTCGGAGGTGGTAATCCTAAATGTGAGTGGTTGGGTCAACAGGGGGGAGGTCAGGTAGGCCGTCACTCTCCCACTCCCATGCCAGCAGGCTCCAGTTGAGCTCTCGTCGCCAGAAAAGACCCAATCCTCGTCCACCTCCATTAGGACGATCATCTGAGCTCAGGCCGCCTGATCGAGGCATATGCTTGCAGAAGATTGCTTTTCCCATGCGGGAGTGGAGCACGCCCATGGAGCACGCCACACATGGCTCATGAGTAGTGTAGAGCTCTAATCCGTGACAAAGATATCCGTCTCTGTTTGGGTGCTCTTGCTTGAAGCACTCCCTTTCCAGCTCAATCAAGGGTGCGTCCTGGAAGGCGTCGTACTCCAGATTGGCGTGCTCCATTGGTTGTTCGGTCGCCAATCGCTCATATCGGACAAGCTTCTGAGCCACCATACTAATAGCACGCAGGACGCAGTGCGACATTGGGTTGTTGGGGAAGCTCACGCCGTTCTCGTGATGGTATCGGGCGTCTCCAGCAAGTCCAACGAGCTCCGTGCCCGTCTCTCCTCGCTGCACAATCACGGCTCCCATGGCCTCTCCGATGCCTGCTTCTTTGGCTTGAAGGGCGACGCGGTGGGCCAGCGCCATCCATATGGCCGTGTCATACTTGATATCGTCGGTGCCACGGGCCACCATGCCAGGATGCGGTCCCAGAGGGTTGTTCTTGCGATATACAGTGGGCCAGAACTGTGAAGACCACATGGCGGCCTGGACCTGGGACGTCGGCGCCAACAGAGGGACAGGAATCAGACTGAGGAAGGGTTCTTTTTCGATTCCTTCCACGCTGGACAGCAGCTCGACCAGGTCCTCTTTCGAGAAATCTTTGGCTTCTCCCACGATGATGTAAATCCAGGTTGATTTCGCAGTATGGATCTGCCGTCCCGTTGGGGTGTCATTCATCAACTGGGTCTTGAGATGGGCAGGAAGATCTGATGGCTTTGCGCATCTGCGTAGGTGCGGTAAGGTATTAGCGTTACCGTCGGGACACATGTCGCGCAAGAGGCTGGAAAATGGTCAGTGTACAGTACATTGCAGGCATAGAATCGGGGAAAGCCTACGTGATAACGTCGTTGGCAGATTTTGTAGGGGCTCTGGTGATGTATGCCTGCACAATAGTGTGATCCTGGCGGACTTCCTGAGTTGTTTTCAGGGGGATGAGGACGCCTCGAGGCAAATCCTGAGCTCTGAGGTCATCGATCAAAGGGTTTGGCGATGCACCTCTGAATTGACGGGGTTCTTTGATGTCAAGCTCCATCCCAGCGTCGCCGTTTGCAGAGTCGTAGTAATCAACCTCGACAGCCATGATGCTCTGTAGTGTTTGGACTTGTGTCCGTCGAGAACAAGGAAACAATTCTCTGAGTAGAAGGATTCAAAACAAGGGGCTGAGATCAGCTGGAGAAATCTTTCTTCGAGCAAAAAGAGGGGGAAAGCTTTGAAACACCAAGTAAACAACTCTCCTATTTTCGCAACTCGGGTGCTTCAGCAGTGGTATGGTGAAGTGAGGTAAATGATGGGGAAAGCCTTAGGTGGCTGTTGATATGATGGATGATGGGAAAAGTGGCCTGGCTGCGTTACTGGGGAGATGGTTTTGGCCAGCCGACGCGCAGAAAGTAACTGAGAGTCGATCGCAAACGCGGTCGTTGCTGGCGAATTCTCACCGCTCTGAGTCGAGGGAGAACCAGGTGGAAGGCGCCAGCAAGTCCGTCATGAAAAAGTGGCGACTGCTCTGGAAGAGATGATCTCGTTCGCCTTCCCAGGTGGCGGCAGCGTTCGTTTGGTCGCCAGGAGAAGTGACAGTAGAGGTGATTGGAAAAGGGCCTGGAAGCTCCCACAGTCAAGGTAAGGTTGCCCTGACAGTACAGTTCAACGCTGACTCTAAAGAGCTACTGTCCACGGCTGCAAGGTGGGAGCGTAAAGCCGAGTGAGCTCGCTTGCCGCCCGAAGGGTTCTTGTTGACGAGGGAAGCTCGCTTGGGACTTTGGTAGAAAGATGTCGACTGCCGATTTTTCTTTCTTTGGTGAGCTGGAGAAAGCGGAATGTGAAGGGCAACTTGCTTGGTGGCAACACGAAGCGTTACGAGGCTCGAGATGCAAGCAGACCTCACCAGAGGAGCGTTTGATGCCGCGCGTTTGGACTTGATGGCTGAATATGTTTGATATTCGAATCGTTGAACATTTCAGGTGAGAAGCCGATAAAGATTGCAGGTAGTTGAAGAAAAGTGGAGATTGGCGAGAAATGGAAGGCGCTGGTTGGCCATGAGATCGGTAGATACAGAGGCTCCACCTAAAATGTTCACTTGCATCTCAGATGGAAAGTCACAAAAAGTTCTGGACGACTGTGAGTGAGAGAGGCGATAGAACATGCAATCAGCACTGCCAGTGCCGTGTGATAGAGCAAATGACTGCAAACTGGTTGTTGCATATAGAACGACGAAAATCAAACGATAGGGAGAAACGACAAAGAAGAAAGGGCAAAATGTACCGGGTACCTGTATCTGCCTGATGGGCTGCGACTGCCGGAGGTGGTTCCTGCCAAACGACAGTTGAAGCTGCCTTACCTAAGGCAATTCCATATTCCATCACATCCTCCCGTCCTGTTTGATACCTTAGAATGGATGGCAGATTCAGCGCTTACTCGCTTCATCATTGCTGATCGCTCTTCTATTCACAGCTGCTCATACTGCTTCTCTCTGATCCCGCTCGCCAACCGTTCTGCTTCACATCAGCGCAGAGGATCGGCTGTACTGTAGCTCCAGTACTGGCCGCACACATGATTCCCAGCATCTGTTCCTCCTTCCAGCTCGACGGCGCTTCGTACCAATGTTCAATATCGGCCGACGCCGCCAGCGCTGCATGCCGCGCTTTTCGGAGCCCACGTCCCCTGTCAGCCTTGTCCCGATCGTCTCGCTCGTCTGTGATTTCAACGCAGGAACGACAACGGGTTCGCGGAGGTTGGGGCTACTACTACTAGCTGGCGTCGCCCCCCACGCCTGGAGAATGAGGAGGTTCCAACCTGGAGAGGGCCCCCATTTTGCATTTTGCCAATATGCACTTGTCACAAGAATTTCTTATCCGGCGCCGTTTCCATTCACGGACCACGGAGGCTCTTGATCGCTGTCGCTCCCCAGTCTCTGAAAGGATTTCGCGGGGTAAGATGGGGTGAAAGCGAGGATACGAACATACTACTACTTACTTGGACGAACAGGTACATGCATGTGCGACCTCGAGTCAACGAACGAGCGATTCTAGCATTACCTGCCAGGTAGACTACCTAAGGTAAGCACTGAGTGAGAAACAAGGCCACAAGTCAGCATCAGGAAGGAAACAGAGCAACTGATGCAACATGTACTAGCAGTTTAGTGGTTCTCCGAGCCCACCGAGATCGTTTGGCTTGAAGATCAGGGTCTTGCTCATTCTTATTACGCGGCGCATCTGGCGCTTGTCACGGATTTCACCAGCCATTTCAGTTGCTCACTCCAGCACCAAAAGCTCCGGGGACGTTCCATGCCCTCGGAGTCCGAAACGCACTCATGCACTAATATTACAGCTCATTATCCCAGCTTGTCAGCCATTCCTCTTGGGAAACTCTGGTGCAGCTTCCTCCTAACAAGGATCATCCATAGCTCAGCACACCAGCCGGACAGGAAACACCGAGCACAGCTGCGGCAGCTTGGCAATCAGTATCTTGCCGAAGGGTGCGATACATGGCATATGAAGTATGAGCAGGAGAAATGCCGGTATGGGCATGCTTTCAATATTAAGTCCTCGAAGAGCATCGCTTCTGCGGTCAGGGCTTTATTGAGTGGTGCGATTGGCTGATAGGTCGCCGACACCGAGATAGACCTTCGGCGTGAGGCTCGTCTTTGACATACGATGGAGCACGAGACTTTTGACCTGGCTCAGTCGCATTGGTCAAACCCTGTAACACAGCAGATGCTCCGCGTGAGCCGCCTGCGTCGACCAAGGGGGCCGTAACCGCCGGATCCTGCTGGATTGATCAACGCAGAGCACGAACGAGCACGAGCACAGTCCATCACCACATTCGACTCTTCTTCTCGCGGGCGCCCTCCGTCAGCGTGACACATGATAGTACGCTGTCGAGTGCAGCATGGCGTAGCGATCCGTCTGAGCAAGCATGGCAGCACAGGATGGGGGCTGGAATGGCTACCATTTCCCGCCTGACACGGCAGCGCAGCCGTGCTGTCATATCTCGTTGCCATCAAATTGCCCACGTTGTCTCATGACTGGCAAAGGCAGATCCCTTCGAGCACTGCATTGCCATTGGACGAGATCCAAAGGGGGCTGCCGCCAGATGCTGAGGCAGACAGGCAGCTACGAAATGAGACCTGCCAAGCAATGGTGAGATATGCGATACGCCGTCTCCTTGGTCCGTCGTCCTTGGAGCAGCCACCATGTCTTGGGAGATTGCCATGGCGTGAAACCGTCCGACAAACTGTTGATGAATGGGGTGGAAAGGGGCCGCATAAGTTGGGCATACGCAGCCATGTCTCTGACCCATCTCCCTTCATCTGCGCTGTTGTCTGTGTCTGCGACGGCCTGTGCTACGAGGTCTCACGTTAATCTCAACGACCTGGGCTCGTTGAGGCCGCTTCTTGTCTCAGCCTCCGCTTGGCTGTACGGAGTATTACGAGTACGGTTCAGGCTCGGCGCAGCCACGTACTCGTATGTGCTCGATCTTACGAAGACGCTGGCACGACTGAATCCATGCATCGGTGCGAGCTGCGAGACAGTGCGCTACCGATTCAATAGCACCTCGAGCACCGCTGCAGCGTGAAGCCCCTGTAAACGCCAGCCGCTTCACCACGACGAGCACTAAGACGTCAAGGCACGTTGGTCATCGCACCAGGTTAGTGCATGGACGGTGTTCCGGTACTTTTATGGAGCAGTGCCCCGTTGATGAACATGATGTTGCTCGCAGCAGATTTGCTGGCCCCCCCTGGTCTTGTATGACGTCGGCCGGCTGCCAGCGAGGCCGCGCTGCAAGACTGTCAGGAAAAGCAGGCTTCACGCTTCTTCTTCCCTTTGCTCACGCTTGCAGGACGAGACGGCCAGCTACAGAGCACAAAAGGAGGAGGCGAAGCGGTCATTTACGACCGGAGAGTGTCGAACATCGGCAAGCGAGGCCAAGCAAGGCTGTCGCGGCCCTTCTTGGCATAACTGACATGGAGGACAGGTACAGGTTGCATCCATCCGACATGAATTCACTCGAGCTTTGTGACAAGCGATTTTTAATAGTTGTTTAATCAGATTTCCGTTTCGCCAGAATGCAGGTGAATTCCACGCATCATTACTTCAGAGCCCCCAGTGATATTACGCGAAGAGGAAGGGTAATGGCCAGCCCGCCAATCACGGCGCCCGATTTGCATCAGAGCGCCCTATGTACTGCAAGCTGGACATTGATCCGTGATGTCCGATGCGTCTCCTCCGTGCGCGAAGAGACGGGGTCCGCTATCGGCGGGACGGCAGAGAGGAGGGGCTTGTATCGAGGAAGATACAGTGACAGCTGTGAGACATGGGTGTCGCCGTTCTAAACGGTTCTACGAAGTATTACGGAGTACTGCTTTGATTTCGACTGTATTTACAGAGCAATGGCTGAGGCTTGGGTTGTGTCCAACAGGGAGGATAAAGGAGCACGAGATTGCGGCCAACGGCTCGCCCTTGTGCCTGTGGTGGACGAGGGCTGCCGTGGATTTGCGAGATGACGAGCCTGGCTTGCCTAGCTGGGAGGATCAAGCACGAAACCACAGGGCCCGTGGGGGACGTCGACGGCGATTGGCCCAAAGTATTTCAAACAACAGTTAGACGAGGGTTGGACAAGGAAATTAGCACGTGTCGAGCACAGAGGCTGCCGTGAGCTGGGGAGTTGGGACGAGATATGCACACCCTCCCGGAAATGCTCTTGGACACCCTCTCGGTGCTCCAATGGAACGGCAAAGTTCCTTGGAGATGCCCCTTTTGGGAAGACACTGCGGTTGCCGCTGTTGCCCGCTGCTGAGCGATGAATGGGGGGAGGGAAATCGACAGGTGGCGAAGTACAGGAGGACTTGGAGGAGAGGCTTCAGCAGCCTTGAGAGGGAGAAGGAGATCATCGCTGGTCCGTGATGTTCATCCATCGCCATCATCCTGCCGCAAGCTGCGTCGTCTCCACGGCTTGGTCTCTCACGAGCCCACGTCGGTGAGGGCAAATTACGTAGTGCAAGGCTGTGGCAGCATCATGGGCCGCTCCATCTCGCGGGCTGCGGCGGTTGACGACACGGACACGGGGACAATCACCACGAGTGTCCCTACATGTATTACGCAGCCACCGTACTGCAACTCGGTGCCTCGAGCCGATGATGGCTGGACAGCTGAGCAGCACCGGCACTGGAGCTCCCGGCGGCGTGCAGGGCGGCTTGCGGGTGGTGGTTGCGCACGGCATGCCGCTATATTGATGTAAATCGCGGGGACGGAGCAGATAGACAGAGATCCAAGGCAGCACCACAGCGATCCTTGGAAGGGATGGACTGGGGGCCGCACGAGAGGCTGAAGAGGGATGAGACATTGGCGGAGGGTGTGTGAGTGTGTATCTCGAAAGTTGGGGGACAAGGAATTACAAACGACAAGCCGCGGAGTGCGCCAAGCACCGGCAGAATGCCTGCCAGAGGCCAATGGCAGAGATGAGGCCGAAATGCAGCTCATCACCAACCGGCAACGGGTTCGCAACTTGTGATACGTCTTCGAGGTCGATACGGAGTACAGTACAATATGTACGAGGACTTGAGCGGCGGAGATTTGGAGAAGTTCAAGCCACCCCCCCTGGGCGTCTGACAAGCGAGCGCCGGCCATCTCTCGGCGCGAGTCCGATCAGCAGTAGCTTACAGGGACACGAGGCACGAAGGGCCCTTTTCCTCTCTCTTTGGTGCTGAATTGGACGTTTCCGCTGACTTTTTCTTTTTAGAGGCACGCTCTTCATCGTTGAGCCGTCCATGCCGCTCTGGATGCATGACGCGAGCCAGCTTGTCTGCATGCTACGGATCTTGCTATTCTTACTCGGTAAGGTCCTTACATGTTGATGTGGGTAGGACAGGTGGTGCTACCTAGTCCTACTCACATGTAACTTGCTTGGCTCAGAAGGGCACGCTGCCGCCCACTTGGCAATGCTGATTAGGTAGCTGGCTGGCTGGCTTGCTGGAGGGATGGAGCATGAAAGAGGAGGAGGAACTTGTCTGTCCGATGTAGAATCGAGTACAGGACGGGTAGAGCAAGGGTGGGTTGGGTTGGCCGGTCTGTTGAAGAGCGAGGTGATGGCTTCCAACCACCATCCATGCTACAGTATGTCTGCAGTGCGCCGCTGAGTCGTTGCATGGGACAAATGGGTAGGAGCCCGTTGTCTGTGGAATTTGATAACCGCGTGAAGGTGGTTTGTCTGTATAAAGCCCTGCTTCTCCATGTGGAAGCCATGTCCAGTATTTCTTGGATTCTGGCATCTACACATATAGATACCTCTTCGTACCTCTCCTGTCCTCTCCATCGTCTCTCTGTGTTCCTTGTACAAGACGTCTGTTTGACACAGAGCCATTGCATCCTTCGTCTCTCGGTGCCTGTCTTTGATATCGAGTTGGATTTGTTGTCACCTTACCTTGCAGTGCTTGCTCAAAGTCCACCCCTTCAGCGAGACTCGCCAGGATAGAGTCTGCCACTGCTAGTCGTTCCTTTGCCGCAATCTACTTACGGCCGTCATTATCGATCGATCCGTCCAGGCACGGAAAGCCATCTCCGACGACAGCGGCACAAATCACCTCACCTTTGCTGAGGCTCGAGACGCGGCCGGCTACGTATCAGCGCTGACCGGCTGAGCCTCCTCTCATCATCAAAGCAGCACCTCGTACACTGAAACCTCCTTTTTCCGTCCTTTGGTACGTGGCCATAGAACAGGCTTCGGACATACGTTGGCTCCCGCGCCCAACCTGATGAATCACCTGTGGTGATGTTATTGTGGGCTGCGATGCTGTGGTTTTGTGTCTTTTGTCGAACATGAGCGCGAGACATGATGCCCTATTATGGAGCCCAGCTTATCTCTCGGCCTTTTTTTTTTTTCTCGCCCATGCAGTTCAAGTGCCGGCACATACGATATGATGCTAACGAGATTCCATTACGAACACGCAGGGCTTTGGCAGATTCTTCTACTCGTTTATTCCAATACCACCAGCTCGACTCGCTCTTTTTCTTTTCGCTTCGTTCGACTCTCGCAACGGCCATATATTACGACATCTCGCTCCTCCCACACACACTCCTCCTAGTGCGAGCCCACGGCTTACTGCAGCACATTCTTGTGTCTTCCATTTCCAAGCACCGAGTTCTTTTTTTGCTGCGCCAAATCGGGAAGCGATTCCCTCGCACCAGGACTCGACCACCGAACCTGTGCCAGCCCCGATCCGCCCTCCACGCGCAAGTACCTCTACTTGGCGACTGCGTGCCTGTACCTTGCCCCTCCTCGCTTCCGGGCCCTGTCGCGCACCCAAATCGCCCGCCCCTCCCTCAACAAGCCTCAACGCCGCAGGTACCGGTACCTTACCGCCACGCCAGGCACTCGCACCTCCAGCGCCGGCGACCCCCAACAACTGCAGTGAAAGCCCTGCCCTGTGCGAGCCTCTGCGCTCCCTCGAAGCAGCCACCGGCACCCCCCCAGAGGAGCCCCGAGCGCTGCCTGTTCCAGGGCCCCTGGCCCGCTAGCTGCTCTCCGTCGCCCTTCTGGACACGCCCCCCGTCCAGCGCTTCCAGCCCACTCATCCAGCCCACGAGCCGGTTTCGCAGGGCCTCTGACCGTGCTGGCTGCTGATTGGCCGCGCCACATGCTGCAGGCCCTTTATTTCCCTGCGAGGTCCTCCCCGTTTGCGTCAAACCGCAGCCTCGACGTCGGCCTTGATCTCGACCGTGACCTTGAACTGGACGCTGAACCTGAACTTGATCCTGCACCTCCGCGCCTCCAGATGCCTTCCGCAGTGTCTTTTCGAAGAGAAGGTGTGTAACCTCTTTCAATCACTCCGTCGTCATTGCCGAGTTTGCATTGTTCCTTTTTTCTTCTCACTTTCTCGTCAACTTTAATTGACTTTTAACCTTTGGGGCGCGACTCTAATCCTCACTACCTTACCTTTTTCCTCGTTAAATTTCGTTCTTTTTTCCCACCCCTCCAACTCTGCATCCCACCTCCCACCTCCCACCTCCAAGCGTCATTCAACATTTTTTTTTCCCCTTCTCCAATTCCTGCGCGCCTCAGAGTCTATTACGCCTCACTCCAACAACCCGAGAATACATAAACGCTGCACGAGAACATCTCTGCTTACTCGTCTTCTCTCTCTCTTCGACATCAACAGACGCCGGACGCCGCCTCGCAAAACAATCGGCCCTCGCGAAACTTGTCATGAACAACCAGCTCCTCTCGTCGCCGCCGTCGCCGCCCTCAACCTCTCCCTCCTCGACATCGCCCACGTCTCCTGAGCTGGAGCAGCATCCTCACCAGCTGGCCGTGCAGCCGCACACAGCCAAGGATGCTGCCGGCTCGCTGGCTCCGGTCGCCTCCGTGGCCAACGCTGTGCGCTTGATGAACGACTTGACGGACACGCCGCCGTACTCGCGCAGCGTCACCTCGACGGCACCCAGTTCGCCGCGAATGTGAGTGCAAGAAAAAAATTTGGTCCTTGCTTCCTTCTGGTGGTTTCCCGCAGTTGCCGGCGATTTCGGCGGAATCTGGTGCTCTTGATCTTGTGTTTTTTCACTGCGGTTGCCACCAGGGAGTTCCCCAATTTCATCATTGCGATGGTCAACTAACCAGCTGGCGCACATCTAGTCCTCCTCAGAGACAAAATTCTGGCAGCCAAACCCCTCGGGTGCGACCCCATGCGACGACGCTCAACATTCCGGGCATGACCCGATCCAAGGTGTCGCCCGACGGACGGATACCCCAGCGCGATGTGGCCGCCAAGCTCGTCATTGTCATGGTCGGCTTGCCTGCGCGCGGAAAATCATACATCACCAAGAAGCTCCAGCGCTACCTGACATGGCAGCAGCACGAATCGCGCATCTTCAACGTGGGCAACCGGCGGCGTAAGACGGCCGGTCGCAGGGTGTCGGTCCATCCCAAGCTGGCTCCAGAACCCTACTGCCTTGACCCTCCCGTCCAGGCCGCCGAAATTCTGCTCAATGGCATGCCTGCCCCTCGGGATGAGCCTACTGAGCTCGACCTGAATCGGACCGAGTCACAGCAGGAGGAGGATCAATCCGCTCAGTTCTTTGACCCCAAGAACGAAAAGGCCGCGGCCTTTAGAGAGCAGGTGGCGATGGAGACTCTGGACGAATTGTTGGACTACCTCCTGAACCAAGGTGGCGCCGTCGGCATTCTCGATGCCACCAACAGCACAATCAAGCGCAGACAGCATATTGTGGATCACATCAAGCAGAGAGAACCCAAGCTCGGCATCTTGTTTATCGAGAGCATCTGCAGGGATCCCAACTTGCTGGAAGCGAATATGCGATTGAAGCTCTCTGGTCCTGATTACCGGGACAAGGACCCTGTCAAGTCATTGGAGGACTTTAAGGCGCGAGTGGAAGCATATGCCAGCGCCTACGAACCCCTCGGAGACTACGAGGAAGAGCACGATATGCAATATATTCAGGTATGTCGGCAATATTGTGCAAGAACATTTGGCTATTTTCATCATTTCGCTAACCTTCTTCTAGATGATTGATGTTGGTCGCAAGTTGATCCAGCACAGACTCAAGGGCTTCCTCAGCGGTGGCCTCAGCACCTACCTTTCCAGCTTCAATCTCGCCCCCCGGCAGATCTGGATTACTCGCCACGGCCAAAGCGTCGATAATGAGCTGGGCAGATTGGGCGGTGACTCTCCTCTTACCGAGCGAGGCCACTGCTACGCCCAGGCCCTTCACCGATTCATCACGCACAAACGAAAGGAGTGGATCATGGAGCAGAAGAGCAAGATGGCGCAGGCGTCATTCCCCCCTCTGCCTGGCGACAACACTCCGCCCTACCCGGACATGTATAGCGACCTGGACGAGAAGAACTTTTGTGTCTGGACGTCGATGCTGCGTCGCAGCGTGGAGACGGCCGAATACTTCGACGTCGACGATGACTACGACGTCAAGAACTGGGAGATGCTCAACGAGCTCAACTCTGGCCTGTTTGAGGGCATGACCTACGAGGAGATTGCAAAGAAGTACCCCGAAGAGTTCAAGAAGCGTGCCAATGACAAGCTCAACTACATCTACCCGGGCGTCGGCGGTGAAGGCTATCTCCAGGTTATTAGCCGTCTCCGCGACATGGTGCGCGAAATTGAACGCATCACAGACCATGTCTTGATCATTGGACACCGGTCCGTTTGCCGGGTCTTGATGGCCTATTTCATGGACCTCACCCGAGAGGACATTACCGACATGGACGTGCCTCTGGGCATGCTCTACTCTATAGAACCCAAGCCATACGGCATTGCCTTTCACGCCTACCGCTACAACGAAGTACGTGGCTGGTTTGATGAGCTGCCCAACTACAAGCCTCAGAAGGCCAGTCGACCCAGTGTCTCCTGAGTCTAACGTCAACATCCTTCATCACTTCATCTCCTTCCTTTGCTTCTTTTGTTTTTTAGTTTCACTTTCGATTTTTCAGACTCAAGATATCCGCCGGGATAAGCAGGCCAGGCAATGTAACAACAATAACGACACGATTCTTTTTGGCGTTTGGACGATACGCGCGGAAGGGTCGCGACGGCTTAGGTGAAGGGGGGCTAGGGAGGCAAGGCATGTCTTTTTATACAGGAGAAACAGGACAACCTTCTATCACGACTGCACTCTCTACAGCCTACAGAGCGGAAAAGGGAGTGCCTGTTAAGCTCAATATGGACGCGAGTCTTGTTTCCTCGTTGAGACTGAGCATCGACAATTGGCCTCCTTGCTGACATGTTTTTTTCTCCTTTGTGTTTTTGTTTTGTTTTCTGTTCTTTCCCTACTTTTGGCCTCAGGGTTAGGCAAGCTTTTTTGGCGTTAAGGGGGGCAAGGGGCGAGAAAGAGGGAACTACGGAACTTTGAGCCGACTCAAGGATTTGCTTGATCCTGTCTTGCTTGAGTCTTATGTTTTGTTTTCTCTATTGGGTCTGGCATTATTTGATGCTGTGTGTGCCGCTTTGGCACCTGCTTTCGGGCGATGAAGACTACCTAGATGAAAAGTCACGAACTTGCGTGTTGCATCTTTTTTTTGTTTTTTTCTTTGACAGGAAGACAGATTTGCTGAGATTTCTTGTGTTCAGCTCTGATGTTGTTTTACTAGATGTTACTTTGTCTTCCAAGATAGAAGTATTACCTAGGTAGTAACTCCAGAATCGCTTCTTTGTTTTGAAGAGAATCTTGGTCTGAGAATCTTGATCTGTTTGCTCAAACACTTTAGGCAGCACGACAAGAGCGAAAGGTGAGATTGACTGTAAATGAATATTGCCTGTCGTGATGCCGGCAAAGTGGACATTACTACTTCAACTGAATGAATTTTCCATGTCCCAGAAGAAACCCCTATTCCTGAAACGCCGTGCCATGCAACAACCCAAAAGACTCCCCAAGCCAAAACAACCAAGCCTCCCCCTTTTTTCCCAAATTTATATAGAACCCCCCTAGATACAACAAGCAATGAGAAATGCAAAAGCATAAAAAAAACCAATCCATTACTTTTCTCGAGCAAGGACCATCTTCTCGCGCTCGCTTTTCCGGGCCTGGAACTGCTTGCTCGAGTGCTTGCGCTCGTTCTCCTCGCGGCGCTTGATGGACTTGAGCTCCTCGTTCTTGATCTCGGCGGCCTTCTTGACGACCTTTGGCATGTGGCGGTGGCGGCGGATGCGGTTGATCTCGGGCAGGTGGCCGTAGCGCTTGATGAGGGCGTCGTTGTACTCGAGGGCCTGGCGCTGGCGGGTGGACTTGACACCCTGCCTCTGGGAGGCGTTTGCGCGCCAGAGGCGGACGTTGCCGTCGTCGGAGCCGGAGAGGACGTACTTGCCGTCGGGGGTCCACTTGGCGGCGAGGACGCGCTGCATGCGCTTGGTGTGGTACATGTCGCGGGAGTGGCCGCGGTCGCGGTGCCAGAGGCGGATGGTACGGTCCCAGGAGGCGGAGACGAGCTCCTCGCCGGTCGGGGAGTACTCGACGTCCATGACGGCGGCGACGTGGCCCTTGAGGACGTTGCGGGCGCGGTCCATCTTGCGCATGTCGAAGAGGTAGACGTTGTGGTCCTCGGAGGCGGCGGCGAAGTTGAAGGCCTCCATGGGGGACCAGGCGACGCGGTTGCAGGCGAAGGTGAGGACGGTCTTGGCAACGGCGGTGCCCGTCCGGAGGTCGTAGACGACGATGCCGCGGTCGCTGGAGCACGAGGCCAGGACCGACGTCTCGACGTGGTTGAAGGCGACGCTCGTGATGGTGTCGGTGGACGTGGGCCAGCGGAGGACCTCGGGCGCGGCGGTGTGCCGCTCCAGGTCGTAGACGGAGATGACGCTCGACGAGGCGGCGAAGGCGTTGCGCGAGCGGTGGTGCGAGAGGCTGGTGAAGGCGCCGGAGCCGAGCCACGACGAGAGGGGCGCGGAACCGCTGGCCGGGTTGTACGGGTCGAAGAGCTTGACGGTGCGGTCGGCGGCGCACGTCAGCAGCTTGCGGTCCAGCGTCCACTCGAGGCCCTTGACAATGTTCTCGTGCGCCGACGCCTGCCAGACCTCGTCCCGCGAGGCCAGGTCCCAGACCTTGACGACGCCGTCGCCGCTGCCGCTGGCGAAGCGCTCGAGCGAGTTGGGGTCCTTTGCGATGGAGTAGACGCCGTCGACGTGGCCGCGGCCAAGCTGCGCGATGAAGGGCGCCGCGTGCATGCGCTCGAGCTTGACGGCGTTGAGGGCGCGCTTGTACTCGCGGGCGCGCTCAAAGGGGTGGACGGCTGAGTCGAGGTTCCGGGGCTGCTTGACGGCGTCGGTGCCGGGCGGCTGGATGGCCGATACGGATCGGCTGATGGCCTTGATCTTCATGTTGGCTTCTCTCTCTTCTTCTCACTCTGGTTTTTCCAAGATGTTGCCTTCTGTATTTGGTGGTTCAAGAATCAGCTGGGAGGGGAAGAGGTGGTGGTGTCTGGAGTCGTTCGATTTTGCAGTGAAGCTCCAAATTTAGCAATGGCCAATTGCTTGAACCTGCATTTCGCGGGGAGAACTTTTTTTTTCTTATCGGCCGTTCTATGAGGTCTCGATAAGCGGCGGGATTACTAATAATCCGGCTTTGCAGGTACTAGTAGTTCGCTTGCCAGGCGAACAAAGCTAATCGATATGGCGCGTGTCTGCCGCTCAACCTTAACTGGTGGCGGGCGGATTACGGATTCATCAACCTCTCCTCAACTCTTTCTCACCTTGTTCCCCCCTCTTCCGCCACTCTCTCATCTTCTTCCCTCTCCCAAACACGCGGCAAGCTTTTTGCATATTTCTATCTACTATTGCTTTTTAAACGTATCGATCAGAGAAATAGTGTCCGAATCCACCGTCTTCGATTTCCTCTCGTGCGCCGGAGTCCGGCCTCTCTTTTTTCTTCACGATGGACGCCCTGCACTACGACTCGATGGCCATTGATGGGGAGCCGGAGCAGCCCCAGGTGAAAATCTCAGCGGTATGAAAAGATCTCTTCTCGGGCGCGCTGCGGAAGATTCGCATCATCCCTGACTTTGATTGTGCCCCCCAGGCCGACAGCACGCGCGTGGACTTTGAGCTCTCGAGAACCAACCTGCCCTTCGCCAACGCCCTGCGACGAGTCATCCAGGCCGAAGTGCCCACAATCGCCATCGACCTGGTGGAAATGGAAGTCAACAGCTCTGTCCTGGCCGACGAGTTCATCGCACATCGGCTCGGCCTCATCCCCCTCGACTCCAAGGGGGTCAACGAACTCAACTACTCCCGCGACTGCGACTGCGAGCAGTACTGCGAGCAATGCAGCGTCAGCCTCACGCTGCACGCGAAATGCACGAGCGACGAAATCATGAAGGTCTACGCCCGCGATCTGGTTGTCGACGGACGCCATGCGAACTCTGTCGGAAGCCCCATCATTACCGACCCCGACGGGCTGGGATGCCTGATTGCCAAGCTGCGCAAGGACCAGGAATTGAAGATCACTTGCATTGCCAAGAAGGGAATTGCAAAGGAGCACGCAAAATGGATGCCAACGTCGGCGGTTGGCTTTGAATACGACCCTCACAATAAGCTGCACCATATGGATATGTGGTTTGAGAATAACACAGATCCAGAAAAGGAGTGGTAAGTGTACACGCTTCGTTTCACATCTCCATTGTCATGGGAGCGGTTAAAGCGACGGTCCTGACAAACCCGTGCTATAGGCCCAAGAGCAAGTATGCCGAATGGGAGGAGCCGCTTCAAGAGGGCGAGCCCTTCGATTATGACGCAGTGCCCAACCGCTTCTACTTCGAGGTGGAAGCGTCGGGAACCATGGAACCCGACCTGATCATCCAGGGCGGCATTCGAGTCCTGCAACAAAAGATTGGTGCTCTGCTGAAGGGGCTCGACCCGAGGAAATACGGCGGCGACGACGCCGACATGGACGGGCCTCGGAGTCCCGACATGAACATGGACGGCGGCACTACGCCATGGCAAGATGGCGGATACACGACTCCTTATGGGAACAACACGGCGTATGGAGGCGGCAATACGGCTTACGGGGGAGGTACTTCATACGGTGGTAACGCCACGGCCTATGGAAGCAACACGGCATATGGCGGCGGCTCGACAGCGTATGGAGGATCGGGCGGCTCGGGCTACGGTTCGGGACCGTATAGCCAGGGCAACGCTTGGCAGTAAGAGAAAATTGAGGATGCGGCGTTTGATGGGTAATTGGGAAACTCTTTGCTGCTTATTTTCTATTTTTTTTTTCTCCCCGTCGTATCAGCAAGGGGGTGATTCTACGCTTCTGGATTGTACTATATTGGGGAACCAAACAGCGTAATAATTAGAATGGTGAGTCGGATTCAACCTCTTTTATCAGAACAAAAGATAGGGGAGGCGGTGAATGCTCGACAGAACAGCGCATATTCAATCACAAAATGTCTTGAAACAGCACTTATTCAGATAACCCTTGCCAAGTGTTTTTGTTCATGTCATCTACCAATCTATCTTCTATATACGGGGGAGTATACATCAGGGGAGGGGGGCACCGCAGCCCCGGAGAGATTTGGGGACAACCGATGAATGGAAAAAAAGTACAAGTAGTGAAAACACAAAGATATGAGCCAGGACATGGGGGGGAAAAGAAAGAAGAAGGAAATGTGAAGATGTCAAAAGAAGATGTGCCGCCAAAGGAAACTTTCTATCAAAACAAGCCAAAAAAAGAGAAACGCCGCCAAACAATTGTTATACAACCATTTTTTCGATCCCCCGTCTTTTTGAATCCAAAAGGTATGTATGCAGTGTAATAGGTAGTAAGTATGTATGGTTTTTCTCTCTACTTTTTTTTTGCCGGTGTTGTTTGTGTGTGTGTGTGTGTGTGTGTGTGTGGCTGGGTGTGTGTCTATATCGTCTTTTCGTCGACGCCTTTCACTTTTCTATATACCTTGCGGTGCATCTCTAGGAAGACGAATGTACAGATGGTGTGTCTGTTGATGGGTTAGCGGGATGGGGGGTGGGCCAGCAAATGTGAGAGGAGAATGGAGAGGGAGGGGGGGGGTTAAGGATAGGTATTATTTTGGTCGAAACTTACGGGCCAAGACGCAGGAAGCTGGGGACCCAGCCCTTGAACATCCAGCGGATGCCCTCGGCTCTGTTAATCTCCCTGACGAGGTGGAGGATGCCCTGCTTGTGCGAGGTGGACATGACGCGGGTCTTGATGACGTCGATGGGGCTCGTGGCCGTGGCGGCGGCCAGGCCGGCGAGGAAGGACGCGGTGAAGTGCGTGGTGAGGGTGTCGCCCATGGGGGTGTAGTCGAGCAGCAGGCGCTTGAAGGTGTCGTACGTGGCGAGCTGGCCGGCGGTCATGACGGCGGCGCGGCAGCTGTTGGGCAGCCAGCCGCGGAACCAGCTGAGGGCGCCCTCGTCGCGGGCCATGCGGGCCATGCCGTCGAGGGCGTGCCGGTAGTTGCGGCGCTCGGCGGGCGGCAGGGCGGCGTCGTGCTGCATGCGCACGTTGATCACGTCGGCGAAGTTGCCGGCGACGCCGCCGACGAAGCCCGAGCCGACGGCCATGGCGATGAGCGCGGGGAACGAGGGATCCCTGCCGCCGCGCGCCCGGGAGTAGCGCTGCTTGACCTCCTCGTAGATGCCGAAGCGCGCCGTCGAGTACGTCAGCTGCCGCAGCAGCGACGCGGAGATGCCGCTGTACAGGCCGCGGACGCCGTCGTTCTTGACGACGTGGGCGAAGGTGCCGCTCATGGACTTGGGGGCGTCGGCTTTGCGCGTTTGCAGGCGGACCTAGGGACGAGATTGGTTAGAGTTTGGTCATCCTTTCTTCAAATGTTTTCCTTTTCCCTTCTTGCAATTGCGGAATTCCGTTCGATTGCAAGATGTCAATCCCATTGGAGCTTCAATTCGGGACGGGGGGGGAGCCATCGTGAAGGGACCATGCGCCGAACATCGGCGTAAGCGCTTCGTATTTATCACATCTCTCAAAACTGCGTACCTTGACTATTGATATAACTGGGTCAGCACGGGAATTTTGCCAAAAGGGAGTCGGGGATAACCGTAACAATGGCAGAAGAAAGAAGAAAAAAAGGAGTGAGCCAAGATGAATCATAGGGAGCAAACATACTCAAGTCCAGCGGATGCGTGACACAGGCGGCCAAGCTACTCGCGCTTCCTCCAAACCAGAAGGGATACCGCATCGCCGGCGCTCTCAGCTTCTTCTTCTTCTCGCCAGCGTGCAGCTGCTGCGGCTGGGCCGAAGAGGCCGCCTGGGCTGCTGCCGAGGTCATCGTCGGGTGCGCAACAACAGCGTCGAGTCGAGATATTGCGGGTGCAGAGAGAGGCGACAGCGGGCTACGGGGACATGCCGCTGGGGAAGCATCAACATGTACTCATGCAACTGCTTGTTTGATTGCCCCGTTGCTGGTTGAATAGGCTGAAAGTGAAAAGAGGGAGTTTTTTGAGGAGAGAGATGGGATGCTAAAGAGACGAGAAGCCGAGCCAAGGAGGGATTATCAGAGGGGGAGGATGTCGAGATTTATAGCATCAGCGACGAGAGAGCGAAGCCGGCCAACTGCTGCAGCTGATGATGGAATTGGACTCTTTTTTTTTATGGCCCACGATTGTCTGATGGTTCTACTTGGCATTGGATGCCATTTATCAGCCCCGTTGATTTCTCTTATCCAAGACGGGCTACTTTGCATCTTGACGTCGGCAGCGGCAGAAAAACCAGGACCGCCGCTCGGGGCCGAAAGGCGGTGAGGGACGCCTCAGCTGTCAGCTTTCCACTACTAGTACCTACAGTAGGACGGCACTACAGTGGACGTCAACTAGACACTTGACTGCAGTGAGGCTATCGGGCGGCATTGGCGATGATTGTTGCGGCATCATTCAACACCGCAAGGTAGGCTGCAGTCAGTCATACTACTGTACAGTTGCAGTGGGAATTCGATGGCTTGCTTGATATTGCCACCATTGGTCATGTTGACAACTGCGACTGCATGAGGGAGCGTGCGGCGGTGCAAAGTCCGCAATGACATGTGAATGCTCGTATGGCTGTCTGCTGAGATTCCTTCACTCCAGCCATCTCCATGCCTACCCATGCTGAGTTGCCTCTCCCGTCGCCATCACGATGTATCTGCCTTCTCATGCCTGACTTGCCATCGCTCTCTTCATGGTAGCACGAGTGTCTTGTTTCGCGGCTCCCCGACTCCCGATCGCTTATTATAACCGCGCCATCACCGCAGCTTCCTACCTTATGTCTTACCGAATGCTTGAACAAGCTCCAACATGCTCTTACCAGAGAGCCTTTGCGAGCCATTCACCCTGCCACGAGACTTGAGGAGCGGATGTCGGGGCTCTGGGAGTGCATATTCGAGCATTGGCTCACTCGGGGGAGAGCAGGGTAGATCTGTAGGACGAGCCGTCAAATGAGATTATGGGGCAATCTAATGTGCTGGTGGTATGGCTGCGGAATTGACGTGTCTGATCTACTGGCTGATGAGATCCATATCATGGATACAGCCTGGATATGCGGATGAGATGGGCGTCAGCGGCAGGTAACACTTGAAGGACACTCACGAGATCACAGGAACTCTACGACATGTGTCTCACCACAAGAAGATGCCTGTTCTTGACGTGGAATACTGGCATCAATTGCTTCATGCAGCATTACGTACCTATGAGAGGAGAGTAGCGTCTTAGTCAAATAGGCAAGTCGGTGAATGCAAGACATTGGATGGCGGGGAAAAGCAGAAAATCAGGCACAGACGAAACCCCCATTCCCTTGCATCTACAGCAACTTCCATCCTAATTCAATGCGTCTACTCGTGCTCGCCTGACCTCGTCGCTTCGTTCGTTGCATGCGCTGATGCTCCGCTGCTTGTTGTCATTATGCTTGCGCTACTGTGAACTGGGAAGTGCATTTTGAATGAGTGATTAACGCGCGAAAGACGAGGGCGCGAGATCCAGAGAAGCAGGGAGCAGTGGCTTTGCGACGGCCAGAGAATATGGCTCCAGCCGACGGGGGACTCGTCTCTCTCGCGCATCCGCCGCCAGATACATCCCGTGAAGCGCTGCAGAGGGAGCTGGATGACGCCATTATCCGGACTGCGGGCTCCCGCCGACGAGATTATGCCCTATCCGTCGTCCATGTCTCGCCCAGCGACCATTCCAGGGTGCAGTCGTCCCTCTTGGCGTCGTCCATCATCGTCGCCCAGACGGGGCTTGGAGTCCTCGACCGGCTGCCCGTGGAACTGCTGCTGCAGGCTCTGCGACACATGGACATGCAGGCGCTCTTTAACCTGCGCCGGGTCAACCTCCGGGCCCGTCAGATGGTCGATTCGCTCAAGGAGTACCGCGCCGTCGTGTCTCACGGCCTGACGGCGTACTGCGCGCTGCTGCGGATGAGGCTCGCCGCTCACGTCACGCTGCTGGACTTTTACAGGGTGCTGTGCGCCCAGGACTGCGCCTTTTGCGGCAAGTTTGGGGGCTTCGTCTTCCTGCCCTCGTGGATACGCTGCTGTTTCGAGTGTATCGAGGAGGATCCCGAGACGAGGATGGTGACGGTCGCCGAGGCCCGGAGGCTCTTCCGGCTGTCGCGCGCGGAAGTCGGGCGGCAGCGGGCGTGCCAAACGATGCCCGGCATCTATTCAACGGGGCTGTACTCGACGGACAAGTCCTACCAGAGAGGGCGGCTCAGGCTGGTACCCTACTTTCCAGCCATGAAGGAGTTTGGGGATCGTCTAGAGACGGGTGTCCCTCGCTCGCGGCATCGGCCCTTTTGGGAGCCGGCTCACAACTTCATGTCTTCATGTGAGCTTCCCTATTATGATCCGCAGACTCGGGCCGTGGAGTACGGAATATCGTGCGCTGGCTGCGAGGCCCGCGCCATTGAACAGCACCCTGGACAGGCTTCGAGGCCGGCAGATGCTCCGTGGGACGGGGTCTTTTCGCGGGACAACTTTTTGAAGCATTTCAGGACATGCAGACAGGCGCAGAAGCTGTGGGAGTCCAGCCCGGAGGCTGCTCTTGAGGCCATCATCAAGCGGGATGATTATTATAACTGAGCATGAGCTGGTCATCTTGTTTGGAAGATGGTACAATCGTGAGTTATGATTGTTACTTATGAACACGGCATATGGCTGCGTTGGTTTGGAGTCGAGGTATTTCATGGGGTTCGGACTGGCTTGCAACTCGTCACAGATGATATGTTTCAACATGGATGGAAGTAAATGAAGGTCAGTATGTCTTCAAGCATATTTCAGAAAGGAAAAAAAGAAGAGAGAAAACGAATCCAGAGGCAAAGCGATGCTGCAAACAAGCAGGAGTGACAAAAAGAGAATCTGACGAGAGTGGGACTCGAACCCACGCGGATTGCTCCACCAGGAATTGCTTGTTAAGGTAGCCTTAACCTGACGCCATAACCAACTCGGCCATCTCGCCAATCCCATTGACGCTGAGGCGATGAAGCAGAGTGTGTATATGAAGCCCGAAGATGAAGCCCTAACTCCAGGGTAGTCGGCTTTCATGCTGCTAACCCCACCTGGAATTTTGTTTGAGCGATATGCGCTTAAGCGGGTATTGGTGGGATGAGCTCAGAGAAAGTCGAAACTCATCGGTTCGGGGTCTGTGAGAGTGTTCAATTCAAGGCTGACTTGGTGCTGGACGCGTTTGGGTCTGCCTCTTGTTTGCTTTCTGGACGCGGCATTGAGGGCGTCTTGAACTTGCCTTGTCACAATGCCATCGGCTGGCATGGGAAGCATGCGGTGCCTCGGCCCGTCAGTCAGAGCTCGGCAGCTCTCACTGAGCTCAAGAGCGTTGCGACAGGGATTTGCATGTCGATTCTACTCCGCAGGTTAGACACCTTCTACATAATTGCCCCCCCAACAGGGCGATAGAAGGAGGCGAGAAGACGAAGAAGAAGAAGAAGAAAGGGCGTTGCGAAGTGGCTAAGCTAACGAGGCTTATACTGACGTCTCCAGCTACGAAACGGAAGTCTGAGGAAGCAGCATCAACAGTCACCATCCGCGGAGACACATATCCCACAGAAAAGCCCTGGTTCAACGTGCCGCCAAACATCATCTCCAAGACGTCAAGGCGCCTTCATCTCCAGCCTGACCACCCCATTTCCATCACGCGGCAAATCATCCAGGCCAACTTCCCGCAGCCGACCTACAAGTACTACGACGAGTACAGCCCCGTGGTGACGACGCAGCAGAACTTTGACTCGCTGGGCTTCCCGGCGGATCACCCTGGCCGAGCCCTCAGCGACACGTACTATCTGAACGAGAAGCTGCTGCTGAGGACGCATACCAGCGCGCACCAGGCGGAGACTTTCAGGGCCAACGAGAGCGATGGGTATCTCATCTCGGCGGATGTGTATCGGCGAGACGCCATCGACCGGAGCCACTACCCAATCTTTCACCAGATGGAGGGCGCGCGGTCGTGGGACCGCAACAAGGTGCCCAACGGCGACGTTGCGGCGGCGGTCCTGGAGGACATTGAGCGACTACCCAAGCACGACGTGGTGGTGGAGGATCCGAATCCGCCCATGCATCCCGAGCGAAACCCGTTACAGGAAGCGCACCACTCGGCGGCGGAGGCTGAGGCGCTCGGCAAGCACCTAAAGAGGTCACTCGAGAACATGGTGGTCGACATCTTCTCCAGGGCAAAAGCGGCGGCGATCAAGGCGGACCCGGACTTTGTGGATGAGCCCCTGCGCATGCGATGGGTGGAGGCATACTTTCCGTTTACCAGCCCGTCGTGGGAGCTCGAGGTCTACTACGCGGGCGACTGGCTCGAGGTGCTGGGCTGCGGCGTGGTCAAGCAGGACATCTACATCAACGCGGGCGTGCCGTCGCAGCTGGGCTGGGCCTTTGGCATCGGCATCGACCGCATCGCCATGCTGCTCTTCAAGATCCCCGACATCCGGCTCTTCTGGTCCGAGGACAAGCGGTTCCTGTCGCAGTTCGAGGGCGTGTCGGCCAGCCTGGACACGCTCAAGCGCTTCATGCCCTTCTCCAAGCACCCGCCCAGCCCCAGGGACGTGTCGTTCTGGCTCCGCTCGACGACGTCTGCGGCCGGCGGCAACGACAAGGCCGTCTTCCACGAGAACGATGTGATGGAGCTGGTGCGTAGCGTCGGCGGCGACGTGGTTGAGAGCGTGACCCTGATTGACGAGTTTGTCCACCCCAAGACGGGGCGCAAGAGCGTGGCGTATCGCATTGTCTACCGCAATCTGGAGCGCACGCTGACGGGGCGGGAGACAAACAACCTCCACGAGAGGGTGAGGCAAGCCTTGGTGAACAAGCTCGGTGTTGAACTACGGTGAGGGGGGGTTTTCCGGTGTTCGTTCGTACGAAGCCGTTTGAGGCTGAGCGAGGCTTGGCCGGTGCGCTTTGCGCTGCTCAGCACAGGGCAGGCGGGAAAAAAAAGGGGGGAGAAAGACAGAGAGGCGATGAGAATCTGCCCCACGATGAAGGCTGTTGGGTAGCATTCTATGATCTGAGGCTGAGGCGGAGAGAGAAGCAGCCGAGCTGATCTTGGCGAGCTTTGACCGAGATCTGGGAGCGGCGTTGGTTGGCTGAGATTGGCCGCGTGGGAAGCTGGCCGACTGTGCCAGCCTTGTACAACTATCACATGTATATTCCTATAGCATTCTTGGGGAACAGAATCCACTTCAGACAAACGAAACAAATAGTTGAACACCAGGTTCGATGACGGAAAATGCTCGATTGATGGTTCCTTACAAACGCCTTGTAGTCAACCCCGGCAGGGCATTAAAATCGGCAGTGTACATGTAATCACAGGTCCTGGTGCTGCGCCTCGGCGCTTTGACAGCAGAAATGCTTGTACCAGAGGAGCTGACTTTCTCTTAGGTAGATGAGTTCCAAGGCCAGATCTAGGATCAAGGGAGGAAAAAAAAAAGAGGTAAAGTGACGTGGCAGGGGGGGGTTTAGAAAAGAAGAGAGAAAGCGGAAGAGACGGCTTCTTCGGCAACCGGCGACCGAAGCAACTTTTCACTTATTGCGTACAGAGATCCTAAGCGAAATTGAAGTTTTCAGGCGTTTGTAAGATGCCAGACTTTATTCGTTTAAAGCCAGTATTTGATATCATGCAATGGCTGGTATTGATGGGCTTTGGTGTTTTTGTTTGTTTGCTTTGAGATTGGGGGAAATACTCGTACAGGTAAGGTACCTTTGGACTCAGCCACAAAAAGCGGGCTTATTTTCGTTTGAGTGTGGCTGAATGAGCCCCCGTTTGGAATGAGTATGGATTTGGGAGGGCGTGCTGGAAATTGAATGAACTGGTTGAGTCAAGCTCATGTGATGCGTTTCTGCGGGATGACGTTGTTTGTTGATGCATGTATGCACTCGTGTGTGAGATGGATGGGAATGGAGGATGGGCTTTGTATTTGCGTGTGTGTGTGGCTTGGTTCGGAAGGGATGGTTGCTTGGTGTTATCAAGTCAAGTGTTGCTGGTTGTCAGCTTCGGTGTGTGTGTGTGTTTGTGAGAAAAAAGGGTTAATGCTGAGGTTTACACTATGTTCCTTGGGTGTCACGGAGAGTGAAAGCGTCGAGGGTATCGTGAACGTTGAAGAGTCCCGATGCGGGTTTCATTCGGAAGATGGCGTGCCGTGATGGGGGATGCCACAACGCATATCGATCTCCGTGGCATATTGACACACGCAAGGTACATAGTAGGTTACAAACATCATTACTGCATCGCACAAAAAAGAGCCTTGGAGGAAGACAAGCGCCAGCTCGAGGCTTTGCGATTGAATTGTTCGTTTGCAATGTCAAACTCAGCCATGAAGCTCGTACTCGTACAGGAAACAAGCCCAACGAGGCAACTCCGGAAAGCTACCCGGCAAGCGGGCATCTCGCAGCCAATAGAGACCGAGAGGAAGAGGAGAGAGACAACACAGCCCGGTCAGTCGGTCAAAGTTCGAGGGCAAACGAGAAAGCCCAAACCACCTTCGCATCCATGGCACGTACGTAAGTCTTTTGTGGCGGGCTACGATGTAATTACTACTCGTCAAAAGGGAATGGAATCGGGTCGATACTTGGGTGGTAGAGTTGCATGTGGACAACTTGTGACAAGTCCATATCCGGACTCCACCTTTATGGCTCGTTCCAGCTTTTGCACTGCCGTCCTGAGGGCGAGTAAGTAAGTGGATTGACGGATACAGACGATGTGTGCTGAGCCTTGGGAGACGGGCGGAATCTGTTGAATCCAACAAGGAATCCAATTTGTGATTTGGCACCATATGCTTGGAACTTCAACTTGCAAACGCGTGTGCTTCGGAAAGGCTCATTAGTGGTGATTAGCAAGGCAAGGGGATTCTGTAAGCCAAGGCATATAGCCGCCCGAGAAGAGACGGGGGTACGTATCAAACGGAGCGGGAGTTCCGCCGCTGCGTCCGGAGTTGTTGCATCTACATACTACTATCTTTGCTCGATAGATTCGTCTGCTTCTGTTACATTGTAAGAGATGGCCCCGCGGCATTTGTCTCGTTGGATGGGAGATGCCGTGAGAATGTGAGATAAGGGGAGTGGATATAGATATGGGCTGCTGGAGATTGTCATGCGACGTTATCGACGATTCTTCATGTCGAGACGAGTTGCTTGGATTGGACGGACGATTGGGCATGCATGTACCTACCCATCTCATTTGATAATACTAGCACCTACCGTACCTTGCGCATAAAACAAACGGACTTGTTCCATGTACAAGTACTAGAAAGATCAAGAAAGAGGAAGAAAAACGACGGGCTTTACAGACGGTACTGGTACCTACATACATCGCGGTTCTCATCAAATGTCTGATTAATCACAAACCAGACTTCGCACAGCCCCAAACAAGCCCGCTGGGTCTCGGCAGGCGGGGGATCAAAATGGACGGGCTTTCGGTGCCAGTTCAGCGGTAAAGCCAGGTACTTTGGCGCCCTGTCTCGAGGAACCCGCGGGATACCTTGATTGGATGGCGCTGGGTTGGTGACAAAACCCGTATTGTCTGAGTACTGGTTTCGAGAGTCTTCCGCCATCCGCAGGTACCTTTGTCTTGCGCCATATCGAAGCTAGAACTGTGATTGAATTGGGGAGCTGCCTCTTTGGAGATTGGAGTCGAGTGACAAGCTGCGTGCAGAAAGCCTCAAGTCATCTGTGCCATGTACGACTACCTTGGTCGATCCTGTGCCATGCCTTGCATCTCCGATTTCACCTGTTGAAATCAATGCAGCCTTGGAGGTGAATGTGGCGAATGAAGTGATCCTGCAGGGGAAACCGAAAAGGAAAAGAAAAAAAGAAAAGAAAAAAATCAAATAAAAAGTCTTGCAAAGCTCATCGCACGAATTCGCCTGCATTACTCATTGAACCAGCTGCACAGCCCCCCCGGGCCAGTGCTTGTCGACGCGCGATGCTCGATTAACAACCAGCCACCTTTGCATGGCAAAGCAACGGCAAAGCATGGCGCAAACGTGTTGAGGTAAGTATGTACCTTCGCCCCCGAAGGCGCCCTGTAGAGGTACCTTTTTCTCCAGTGCAGCAGTTGACTGGAGGCGCACGGGGTACCGCCAGCGCTAAGCATTGGGCCACGCCAATCGCGGCTCCACCGTCTCTGCCATCCGCCCTCTTGCGCAGCCAATCCTGGGCCGCAGCAGTCCCGTGGCCTCCCACTTCGCCTTTTCGCACTTGGACCTTCCGCCTTCTCTTTCGGGGCTTTGCTGCGTTTGGATGTTATAAGATCGCCTCCTCCTTCTCCTTCTCTTTTCTTCTTGTCCTCCATTCTCCCTCAAGACAAAAGACGAATAACCTCAACTGCAAAGTCAGCTGCCGACGCCATCACAGACGGCTACGATTGCAGATCCCGCAACATTTGAAGCTACAGCTCTCCCTCCAACTGCGCTTTGCACCAGACACGTCACACGACACCGGGAAGCACGGCCTGACATCACCGCCATTGCTATATCGCCATAGTTGTTTCCCACCTTATGATCGACTCTCTCTAAACTCCTCCCGAACCTCAAGATCACAATCACTCCATCAACCTCAGCCGTAATGGATGTCACACCGAGTCTCTCACGGTCCTCCTCGACCTCGTCTCGCAACAAGTCCAACCTCAGCCTGGACCTCTCCAACCTCCCGCCACTCGTCCAGCCGACGCCTCCCTCGAACACGCTCATCTTCACAAACCTGAACAACACCGACATCTTCCTGCCCGAGAACCTACAGACCATTCGCGAGCTCATCGAGCACACGGCACCCATACACTCGTTTGCGCCGCTCAAGTCGTTCCGCCGCATCATCGTCTCCTTCTTTGACGTCGATGCCTCATTAGCGGTGCGCCAGGTCTGGGACGGCGAGGCCGTCATGGGCGAGCGCATCAAGCTCTACTTTGGCCAGCCCACGCCGATTGAGACCAAGCCAGATCACCTGGAGCTGCCCGACGCCGGCAAGCTGTTCTTCATCTCGCCGCCCCCCAGCCCTCCCCACGGCTGGGAGATGCGCCTCGAGGACGCGCCCAACAAGCAAGTCCACGCCGACGACCTCGCCGAGGCCCTGGCCAAGCTGCACCACCGCCCCGTGCCTACTTACGACTCGCCCGTTACCCCGACCGACGGCGGTGTTCCCAACTTTGGCACCCGGAGTCGCAGCTCAACGCTCATCTACCAGCCAGACGCAGAGACGAGCCCTGGTATCCCCGCAGTCTTTGTCGAGGATATGACGGATGGGCCGACGATGAGCCCCATTGAGGTCTCGAAGCCCATCATGGCCCAGACTGCGCGACCTCCCGTTGAGCTGATGCACGACGCGTAAAGGAGGTTCTGGACACGGTGATACGACGGATGGTGAACATAATAATATTTGATTACTTGTTTATTTGCTTCTTGTGCCATTCTTTTCTCTGGGAGGAAGGCTCTTGGCAGGCGTTGGCAACGATATGACACACGGCTACTTCGGTTTTGGAGACTGTCGATATTCTTGTGGACTCATTACTTACACGGAACCGGCGTTTTGGGCTTTCTTTCACGTTGACCGAGCATAAGGGGTTGTATGAAAAGCAGAACATCATGTCAGAATAGAGACATACCCATCGCAAATAGAGGGGCGCAGCATCATATCTGTAGCATGTGGCTTGATGAAACTATTGAGCTTATCCAAATTGATCAAGCACCAAATTATATCTTTCTTCAATAATTTTCTCTTCTCATTCCATACCACGTTCATCATCCGTTAACGGCCTCGAGTTGCGTCTTGACGCATAACTGATCCAGTGATATGGGACAGCCATGAGAAGTCGGCCAGCCCCACATCGAATCCCCACTATAACCGCACCTAATCGATTTTCCTCATCCAGCCTTGCCATGGGCATATTTTTCTTCTGTTTTTGTCTTCAATATAAAAAAAAAGACAAAACAACAGCCGTCTTTTTTGATACCCGCCCTCCCCCCAACGCGCCCGACGACAATGAGCTGCTCGTGTCGCCTCGCCACATGGCGGACGTTTGCGCGGGGCCTCGCCCAGATTCACCGATCCGACAATCTTTCTTCTTCGGCTGCGCTGCCGCTTCGATGGCCGGCTCGGCAGCTGGTGCTGTTGGGGCCCCAGAGCCGTGGACTGCGTGTCTCGGGATATAGGAGACAGGAGGAATCGGCTGCTGCTGCTGCTGCTGCTGCAGCGGCGGTGGATGAGGAAGGACATGGACAGGGAGGATCACGGGGCACGATTGCTGAGGATGGGCAAGCAAGCGTGGCGAAGATGGTGGACGAGGTGGCTGCCGATGCGAATGAACACCCGGTCGAGAGGAGACGGACGGCAAGGGATGGAAAGAAACGGGGTTCTGCTGCCACGGATGGAAAGGACGATTCGCGAAACAAGACATCAATAGGAGCAAAACGGGAACGAAAGGCCAGGCCGTCATCCCCCGCCGACGGCAACTCGCCAGATATTTCCACCGGACAGCAGTCGCCGCCGCCAGAGTCTTCCCGACCGAGGACTCGGGAGCCGTGGAAGGTCCACAAGGCGGCGCTCAAGGAAAAGTTCCCCGAGGGCTGGCAGCCGCGCAAGCGGCTCTCGCCCGACGCCCTGGCGGGGATCCGGGCGCTCAACGCGCAGTTCCCAGACGTGTACACGACGGCGGCGCTGGCGGACAAGTTCCAGGTGTCGAGCGAGGCGATCCGGCGCATCCTCAAGAGCAGCTGGCGGCCGTCGGCGGACGAGGAGGAGGAGCGGCAGCAGCGCTGGTTCCGGCGCGGGAAGCAGGTGTGGGAGCAGAAGGCGGCACTGGGGATCAAGCCGCCGCAGCGGTGGCGGAGGGAGGGCATCGCGCGGGATCCCGGGTATCACGAGTGGAGCAAGAGGGCGGCGCAGAGGGAGAGGGAGTGGGAGGAGGAGGAGGTGAGCAAGTACCGGGCTTATCGGGAGAGGATGAAGAAGAAGGCGGAGGGGAGCGGGAGGCAATGATGTGGGATTGGATGATGTGTATGACTGTCAGAGGCATTGGATCTGTTGATGGGAGCCTCATGTATGTATAGACTCTGCTCTGGGGATAGTATTTCATGGGTTATGGCATTTGACGGAACACAGGGCTCTGCATATGGGCATTCTGTGCACAGCTTCTTGCATACTTGGCGCATACAACCGGTTTTTGACCTGTTCTAGACACGAATCACCGCCATCATCACCACCTTGAACTAAGACGGCATGCAAATGCCCAACGTCAGAAGCCACAGGGAACACTCTCTCAACCCTCCACCGCAAAGTGAAACACAAACATCCCACCAAACCGATCCTGTGTATGTACATCCTTTTCTGCAGCATCAGAAACCGGTAAAGCTCAGGCACCGCCCAAAGCGTTTCACCTCAGTGACCGGCTACCAGATCTGGCGGTTCTGGCCAATAAGAGGGCGAGGCGCCCAAGGCTGAAGCTAGGCGACTGAAGCCAGGGGGTTGCGCTAAAACCCGTTTCATGGATGGATTTGGGGTCACCGTCGCCTTTTCTCGTGAGATTTATAGGATTGGAATTCTGTCCTTTTTCTTCTCTTCTTCCCCTTTCTGCTTGTTTATTCTCTTGCGTCTTCATCTTCGTTTTTCTCTTCTGGGAGGAGTGCTTTTTGGCCTTTTTTTCTCTTCCCCACTTCTGAGTTCGCCAATTGACGGGAGCTCTTTTGTCTACTCTGGTTGCTGAACTGGGGCAGCTGTCTTTTTACGTTTTCTTTCATGTGATAGCCTCCCACCGCAGCCACTTTAGCTGAACCTGAACCTGAACCACCCTTTGTCTTCTTCTACCTTACCTGACGTCTCTTTCAAATCCTCAAACTTCAGCAATCTCGCGCAATAATCACCATCACCATGCCCTCAGCAACCTACTCGCGCCCTCCCCAGCGCGACTCGTGGTTCGCGCCGCTCTCCATCGACCTCATCCTCAAGGTCTTCAACGTCACCATCTTCCACCCCTTCATCTGCTGGCTGATCCCGCTGTGCCTGCGCGCGCAGACGACGCGCTGGGAGGCGCCGCCCATGGTGGCGGCCATCGCCTGGGCCGTCTTCATCTCGCTGCTGTGGATCGCGAGCGCCGCCAACCAGCGCATCGCGCACGGCGCGCCGCGCGAGGTGGACCTGGGCGAGGAGGTGATTGTGGTGACGGGCGGCGCGAGCGGGCTGGGGATGCTGGTGGCCGAGGTGTACGGCATGAGGGGCGCGAGCGTGGCCGTGCTGGACGTCAACGAGATGGAGAACGGCGAGGCGAGGGGCCTGACGTTTTACAAGTGCGATGTGAGCGACAAGGCGCAGGTGGCCAAGGTTGCGGTGGAGATTGAGCGAGATGTGAGTTTGTTTCCCCTGAACTTTGGGAGATGTGGTCAATCGAAATGATGGCGATTGGGGGGGAGTTTCAAGGACTGACTCGGCTGAAAACAGCTCGGCACACCTACCGTACTCATCAACAACGCCGCCATCGTCGTGGGCAAGTCGCTCCTGGACCTGTCCATCGACGAGATCGAGACCAGCATCGCGACCAACCTGCTCGGGCCCTTTTACTGCCTCAAGACGTTCCTGCCGGCCATCATCCGCGGCGGCCGCGGCGGCACCATTGTCAACGTGTCCTCGGTCATCGGCCACCTGGGCGCGGCGCGGCTGAGCGACTACGCGGCGGCCAAGGCCGGGCTGACGGCGCTGCACAAGTCGCTGACGGCGGAGCTGCGCGAGTCGCACCCGGACATCCGCACGGTGCTGGTGACGCCGGGCCAGCTGAGCACGCCGCTCTTCTACGGGGTGCAGACGCCCAACAGCTTCTTCGCGCCCGTCGTGGAGCCCGTGGACGTGACCAAGGAGATTGTGGCGGCGATTGACGGCGGCAAGGGCGCCACGGCCGCGATGCCGCTTTACGCGCGGTGGGTGGACTGGTACAACGTGCTGCCGGTCGGGGTGCAGCTGGTTGCGAGGAAGATTTCCGGCGTGGATCGGGGGATGAGGACGTTTATTGGGAGGAGGGGGTCTGGGGACGACGAGGGGAAGAAGATGAGGTAGAAAACCTTTTGGGGACGCTGGCGTCTCTATGTTTTGCTTGGTCGAGGGGGGAGGATTTGGAAGACAAAAAAAGAAAGAAGCATTGTGTTATGATTCGATACAACTGGCATATGATAGACTGCATCCTATCACCTGCTAGACTACTACATAGGGTAGATAAAACTCATTATACATACTCTTCCCGGTTGTGGATGGGATGATATTGCGATGTGTATGGCGTTTACGTGTAATGTTGTAGCTTAAAGTGAAGCTTACGGGTGATGACGTAGAATAAGAGCCTTGAACGGATGTATAAACGAACCCACAACAACTTGGTAGCCAGAGGCATTTGCATAATATCCCACATACATCAGCTGCTGCTGCCATGACATTTCTTCTTCGTATTCAACAAATTGCCCCCGACGACGCAAAAGAGCCATGTCATACCTAGAGTAGCTAAGGTAGGTAGAAGATGCAAAACCAGCGACAGGGACAGACAAGACAGCCCCCTCGGGAAGACCCGAGCCACATGGGGGGGACTGTTTCCCATTTGAGGGCCTCATATCCGCCCCTTGCATACGAGCCACGTGAGATACATACTACTATAAACCAGCAGATCGATGTCATGTCATATCATGCAGTTACCTATTACCTTACCTGGCCCAAGCTCCATTACTTCGTATCCTGGCAGTTGAGATACAGCACCCCGGTATGGATGGACGTCAGTGCCAGAGGGCAAAAGATGGCAAGTGTAAGCGCCAAACAAGATGGGAAACTCCGTGTTCCTGAAATGAGGCACCTCGGCTTCGTTAGCGTTGCGGGCAGGGGTTGAGAAAGGCGAGCATGAAAGGGTAAGACATCTGCAGCGATTGGGGCGGTTTGTATCTGGGGGAAATCATAGCGATTGGATGAGGGGCGAAGGAAGGACAAGAGAGGGAGACACGGGCCATTTCTTAATATTGTCCTTATATTTTGCGTCCTGTTTTCCTCTTTGTTGCGGGTATAGATGGTTGGTGAGCCAGGAAGCATTGTAAATGCCTAGGCTATCTTATCTATCTCGCCGTCATGGTGCCGGATTGCGATAGTAAAATGCCCAGACGGAAGGGGAACGGACTGTCTTCTATACGAGGCGCCGTCTGACTTTCTCATTGGATTTGGGCTTGGCACGCTCTAGTAGGGGGGGAAACCATTGGCTGTGGGAATCCGAGAGTGAATCGTGGATGCATGAGACGAGACAATGCAGCACGTCATGGTGCAGGCGGGATGTGGTTTTTTTGCTGTGATGGGCCTGAGCGAGGGAGCATTGGCCTCTATTGTGATGTCTCGATGAATAGAAAGAGAGAGAGGCAGTTCCCACACACTGCTGTTTTCAGAGCAATTGTCATGATACTCGAGCTACAGCGAGGTGGCACTCAACCCAATTCGACCGCAACACGAGCATCGAAACGAACCAATTCGCCGTCGCCCAGCCTCGTGATCATCCCCGTTCCTTGTGCCTGGACAAGCACAGCACCGGCGTCGACCGTCGCACCTCGTACTTGTACTTGCGTAGCCCAGCCAAGAAGTTGGATTCGAGCTCGTCCAGCCAATTGCCTCCATTCTCGGCCACTCTCCCCGGCTAGTGCTAGCCGCATCCTGGCAGCTAACGGGAAAGATGGGGGAAGTTCGAATTGCCAGCAGAGACAACCTTGATTTTCCCATGTCCAAAGATGGGGGTGAGGACGGAGGCTAGGACAGGACCGGCCGGCTGCATGGACGATGCCATAACAATCTCATCATCGTCGCGCTTCTCTTTTTTGCGGGATCTGCGTTTTCTCTCTCCTCTCGCACTCTCTCTGCTCTTTCTTTGCGTTTGCGCGGTTGCTGGGGTTATTCACGGTCATCGTACCATTGTATCACTCGCTCTTTAGATAAACCCGCCGGCTTGCCAGCTGTCGAGACCCCGTCCGTCCACCGCACTCGCTTCTTTCTTGTCGCTGCCAACCCTCGCTCGCTCTTTTGGCTCTCTTGGGTCACGTTGCGCTCACTTTTGGTTTCCCCTTTTCCAAACCTCTTTGAGGGGAATTTGTGACCCAACGATTCACCGGGGGGTTTTTTTTTTTGTTCGACAAGAAAAATTTGCCGTTGTGCTGCTCGTCTCCCCTTTCTTTGGCCCTGTTTCATTTTTGGTTTTCACCATTGACGGGCCCTTTTCTTATCTGGTTTGGATCTGCTCGATTCCCATTGCGAGCTTTGTTCCTTCAGCCGTCGTTTTGTTCGCCCAGATTTTGGAACAGTGAACAGTTCGATATACCGTACCGCCTCCACTTTGGAACCGGCAGTTTATTCGCATCTTGGCTGTGATACACGATGCGTTGGTCTTCGGTTGCCGTTGCGCTGGCGAGCGCCAAATCTTTCGCCGTGGCGCTGGATCCCGTCTCCGTCGTGGGAAACAAGTTCTTCAACAAGGACGGCTCGCAGTTCTTTATCAAGGGTACGTCGCTGTGGAGGCGTGGAGAAGGAAACGGAAAAATGGCTGAGGCATGAAATGTTTGGTATTGACGCTTCTTCTCCAGGTATTGCGTACCAGCTTGTTCCGCAGGATCCCCTCGTGGACGCTGACCAGTGCAAACGCGATGCTAAGCTCATGGCCGAGCTCGGGACAAACACCATCCGCGTCTATCACGTCGACCCCTCCGCCGACCATGACGGCTGCATGAGTGCGTTTGACGACGCGGGCATTTACGTCCTTGCTGATCTGGATACCTTTGACACTTACATTATTCCCGTGCGTCGACTCCCCCCCCCCTGCTTCTCTTTGGGCTCCTCGTCTTACACATTCTTATAGCAAAATAACTACTGGAATAAGACAAAGTTCGACAGGTATGCCGAGGTCTTGGACGCGTTCCAAAAGTACGACAACCTCTTGGGCGTCTTCGTCGGAAACGAGAACATCGCTACTAAAGATGATTCTCCCACGGCGCCCTACCTCAAGGCTGCTGCCCGCGACATGAAGGCGTACCGCGACGCCCAGGGCTACCGCGACATCCCCGTTGGCTACTCCGCCGCCGACATCCTGCAGCTTCGCCCCATGCTCCAGGACTACCTGACGTGCGGCGGCAACTCGTCCGAGACGGTCGACTTCTTCTCCCTCAACTCGTACTCGTGGTGCGACCCCAGCACGTACAAGGAGTCCACCTACGACCAGCTCGAGGAGTACGCCAAGAACTTCCCGGTGCCCATCTTCCTCTCCGAGACGGGATGCATCGTCCCCGGCCCTCGCCTGTTCGACGACCAGGACGCCATCTTTGGCCCTGAGATGGTCAATGACTGGAGCGGCGCCATCATCTACGAGTGGATTCAGGAGGAGAACGGCTACGGGATCATAACATACGCCCCGGCCGGCCAAGCGGCTGGACCCAACGTCGAGGGTGGCTTCCTGCGCAAGGGCACTCCCACGCCCAAGCTGCCCGACTTCACCGCTCTCCAGTCCAAGTGGGCGACCAACACCCCTACCGGCGTCAAGCGAGACGATTACAACGCCGACGACGTGTCGACCCGTGCTTGCCCTACGTCGACTGCTGGCGGCTGGTGGCAAGTGGACGGCGACGCCCCGCTGCCCACCCTGGGCCAGATCCTTGCCGTCAAGACCGAGACTCTGAGCCTGGCTACCGAGACCGGCACCAACACGGCCGAGAGCACCGCGGACAGCACCTCCTCCAACGACTCGGCGGAGAACACGGGGGCTGCCACGACGTCTACGCCCGACTCGTCCTCTTCCACCACCTCTAGCGCCGACAGCGCGCAGACGAGCAACGGCAGCCCCTTGGACAAGCGGATCACTACATTCGGTGCCGGTTTGGTGGGCGTTGTTCTTGGTGCTGCAGTCCTCTTGTAAGACGGACTCATGTTACTTGTTGGATTTGTATTGTCAAATCAGTATCAGATACCCGTCTACTTCTTATCACGCTTTTTTGCTCTTCTGTTTTAATGTTACCACGGGACTTTGGCTTTTTAGCCTGGCTTCCCCCCTAATGCGCTTTGTATGATGGCTGGACGTTTGGAGAGGGGATGATTTTTCTTTCTCATGACGTTTGCCGCGTAACGAGGCATGACTGTGTTTATACTCAATGGATGAGGAAATGTTGTACATGAGATGCTGGGAGCCTTGTTTGCCAATTGTGTAATGTCTTTGAATGTCGACAACCCTTGTCATTGTGTGCCTGTTATTGTGCCACGCGCTATCCTAGCTGCCTTCTTTTCACCCAACAATCGCCCTTCTGACGTGACGCTCTGAAGAGCCTATTTCCCCTCTTGTGTGTATGCCTTATTCTTTGCTCTATCCAATGTCTGCTGTAGAGGAACCATCGAATGGTACCGTAACTGTCGTTTGGAGCGCTGTGTAGGCATCACCGATTGGTACCGTTATTGTAGTTTGAAGCAGCGTCTGTAGGCTGACAGTAACAGTGACGCTATCTGAGGTATATGTAGTATGATTTAGCTCGGTAGTATTGATTCCCGTTGTCGACGAAGGCAGCAGCTTGGTCGATGAAGGTAAGTCGTGATTCCCGTCGTCGTCATCGGAGGACGAGGAGGAAGAGGAGGAAGAGGAGTAAGCTTTGACGGCGGAGTTGCCGACAAAGACGAGGCTGATGAGGAAGACGGCGAGGACGGAGGCGCAGAGGAGGCCCATGACGAGGTAGCGGAGGCGGGGGTCGTAGCGGTGGGGGGAGGAGCCCCAGGGGGTGCGAGTGTGGGTTTGGCATTGGCGGTTGTCAATCATTTTTTTTTTTGGGTTTCTGGTTGTATTACGAGTATGTAGGTATGATTTGTATGTAGGGGAGGAGGAGAGGACGCTTGAGGTTGTTCAGTTCAAGATGGGTTGAGACTAGTAGGAAGGCTTGTAGAGAGCATGTATGAAAGGGGAATGGAGGGTTTATAGGATGATGGACGTGGATGAGGATGAAGTTGGTTTATTTGATATCGATTTATTATAAAGGGACTATGTTGTATTGTTATGTTTAGGGGGGCTATCTAGATAACGGCAATGGCAACTGTGCTTTGGGGATATGGATTGGTCTGGCAAGAGAGATGAAGTCGGTTAAGAAGACACTGAAAGTACAGGATGGAGCTGTAAACAGTAGTTGGCTTCCATGGTGGTGGCTTTTGCCCGAGGCTTTCAGATAATCAAACTCAAGAGCAAACAACTCTTCTTTCACAGCTGACGACCGTTCTCTTATACTAATTTTTCACATCATGCAACATCTCTTTCGTGAACCGAGGCATGCATCTCATACTGGAGCACAATCGATAAAGAGTGACATCGTAGCGCCTTATGTAAGCCGCCAGGAACATGTCTTGCTTTGGTCTCCCTCACATCGAATCTGAGCTAAAAGCCATCGGTCGATGAAGCAGGTGGATGAAAGAGAGACGGAACAATCCCCACCAAAGCCTTATCATAGTGACAAAATTCGGTCCAATGACTGTCTCGCTATTCCGCCTCTGGTGTGGAAAAAAAATAAAAAGGAAAGAAAACGCTGCCGTTGATAGTAGAGAGAAGGGACAGGCCGCCTAGTGGCTAACAAGCAAGGATAAGGATTTTTTTTTTTTTTTTCTTTATCGATGCACGCCAGCCTCGCCTCGCCTTGCCATTTGCCATTTGTTACTCCGCTGTCTTTTTTTACAACCTCCCGCAACCGGGATTGCCCTCGAATTTCTCAACCCCCCAATTAAATTTCTCAGCCCCCCAATTTCTGGGTTTGTGCCCGTTGTGTATCTGCGAGCAGCTGCTTTTCGGGGCAAGAAATAAGGGCATCGGCGCTCGACTGACTCAGCAAAATATCTGGCCATCATCATCTTGCATCAACTTTTGGCCCTTGCCTTTTGGGTTGGGCGATTGCGAAACCGACCTCTGCCGAGATTTTGACGAGCGTTATCGATTACGATCCCGACTCAATCGCATCGAACCGACTCTTCATCGCCTGGCTGGACCGAATTCGCTTCTGCTTCTGGCGACGGGGAACCGCTGCAGATGCTCCCCTGACGAGGCCTTCCTCCGAGGCAATTGGCAACAATGGCTGAGCCGGCGCAGGTTCAGACAGCACCTGCTGGTTCTCCCCGAGGTGAGAGATGCTTGCACTTTTTGGCTTTTTGTTTTGTTTCTGTTGGACGGGACTGCAGATGCAACAACTTGGGACCCGGCAATGAGAGGAGACGTAGCTGACCGGCTGTTTCTTCCTCTCTCGTTCGCATAGAGATCAAGCAGGAGCACGAACATGACCACACGGCGGTTCTCGAGGGCCTCGACTTCAGCATCCTCGCCGAGCTCGCGTCGAAGCGCCCGTTCGACCAGGTAGCCCAGGACACCCACGATGAGCAGCGCGAGCAAGAGGCCAAGAGGCCCAAGACGGAGAACCACACCACAGAGGAAGAGTCGTCGCTCGAGGACGGGCTCGCGCTGCTGGTGCAGAATGCGCTGTCCAACGTCGGCGACCTGGTCCGGGGCTTCAACGTCGATGCCGGCGAGGCGCACCACAGCGATCCCCTCGACGTCGACGACGCGCACGGAGCAGACGCCCGCCCGGCACCCGTGTCCTTCTTGTCGGAGCCGGAAAAGTACGTGCGCATCGCCAACACGCATGCGCTGGGGAACCTGGCGCTCTCGTTGCTGCTGATACTGCTCCAGCAGCCCATTGATGACATGTCGAAGCTGGCCGGGGATGCGGACTCGGGATACGGGCGCTCGTACGGACGGCTGAAGCGATCTTTCGATGCGACGTGGCAGCTCTTCTCGGACGGCCAGGTGCTGTCTGCTGACGAGCTGGAGATACAAGAGGCCGAAGCCCGGACGCTGCTGGAACTGGCCAACATTGCAAAGTTTGGGATGTGGTTGGTCGAGGGCGGGCTGGATTCTTTCACTGCCGCCGAGAGGAACTTTACCTCCGTCTTTCGCTGTCAGGTTTCCGACCTATCACCGGCGCTGTCCCAGCTTTACGTCGAAATGAAGACCTACAAGGCGATCGAGTCGCTGATAAAGGACGGCGAAGGGTTATCAATAGAAGAGAAGGTGCATGTGGTGCAGACGACCATGCTGGACGGGCTGAATGATTCGACCGCGGGGAACGAGCCGACATCAGCTCCTCAACAAGAGCTGTTGACCTTGGCCAATGCTCGGAAAGATTTGCTGGAGGAGGAAATCAAGGTTAAGCAGCCAGGTTCGTAGCCCCCTTTGGCCCACCCGTCAATGTTATCATTGTCCTCTGCTTTACCCATCTTACTTGAGAGGAGCAACTGACATTTTTCTCTTAGCCGCTCTGAAAGAAAAGTTTCCACCCGGCGACGTTTTGAAAAGCTTTTCGGCGCATGTACGAACACTGTTGGCGTCAATGACAGAGGTCGGAGAGAAGCTGGGCGTCTCGGCGCTGCTGAGCGACGTGGCCAACCAGGAGTCAATACCAAGCGGAACGGGCGATGGCGAACTGGATCTCGACGACCTTTCCTCATTCTTCGAGAAGACGACCTCGGGTTTGGTGCAGAACGCTTTGGCTGGCTTGACGGAAGAGACACCAGCAGAGGAGGCATCCGCGGTCGAACTCACCACCGAGGCACCAGCGGAGACGACAAATGGCGAGCCAAAGGCAGATGCGGCAACGGCCGCGACGGCACCTCAGACGAACGGTACCAAGCTGGATCTCATCTCAGACTACAAGGAACTCGAGGCGCTGGTCGCGGAGAGCACATCCAACTATGTCAAAACGACGCTCAATGGCCTCTCCGCCGTTGCCTACCAGCCCACAGTTCCTCAGAGTACAGGTAAGCGTCTCCAGCTCATCATAATCACCCAACAGGGTCGAGTTTACTCACACACGATGTAGCCGAGACCATGGCTGCGCAGTCACCGTATCTGAGCCATCTTCATCAACACCAATCCCACCACCCCTACTACACCTCATACGCCAGCCAGCCCGCTCCTGAACAGCAACCTCCCCAGCCCGCAGGGTCCTCCGACAACCTCCCACCTAATCAGACGTTTCCTAGTGCCATTCTATACGATAAAGCTCGACAAGCAGCGCTCTCCAAGTCATCGGCGCATACGCGGAGAGAAGGTCTTCACTCTACTCGACGGCCTTGGACCCAGGAGGAGGAAAAGGCCCTCATGGCTGGTCTCGACATGGTCAAAGGCCCTCATTGGAGTCAGATTCTGACTCTCTTCGGCCAGAACGGAACCATTTCCGATATCCTCAAGGACAGGACGCAGGTTCAGCTCAAGGACAAGGCACGGAATCTGAAGCTCTTCTTCCTCAAGACCAACTCGGAGATGCCGTACTATCTGCAGGCCGTCACGGGAGAGCTCAAGACCCGAGCCCCGACCCAGGCTGCCCGGAAGGAGGCCGAAGAAAGAGCGCGGATGAACTCTGAAGAGGAACAAGCCAAGCTGCAGGGCATCATGGCCTTGGCTGGGGGACTACAGCACCCGCCTCAACAGCAGCATCAGCATCAGCAGCAGCATCAGCAGCAGCATCAGCATCAGCACCAGCAGCAGCATCAGAGACAGCAGCTTCATCATCAGGCCAGGCCGCCGGTCACAGTGGCGGCAGCCGTCGGGCAGAGCGTCGTAACGCCGGCTCAGGCTGCCAGCGCAGCTCAGTCGGCATCCTCCGGACAGCAGCAGCACGCGTCGCATCTGCATCACCACACGCCGACGGCAACAATGACAAGCACGCCGCAAGCCAACCTGGCACCCACCATCTCGCGAGGCGGCATCATCCTGCCCAACACGGCGCAGATCAGGCCCGAGGGCCATGTCGCAACGGTGCAGCAGCAGGCTACGCAACATGTTCCGTTGGCACCTCAACGGCCACAGACTCAGCTCGCGCCCCAGGCGCTCATATCACAGGCTCAACCTCAGGCTCAACCTCAGGCTCAACCTCAGGCTCAACCGCAGACGCAGACGCAGGTGCAGCAGCAACAGCAACACGCACAGCAGCAGCAGCACCAACAATATGCCCAGGCGCAGAGCCAGGTCCAGACACATACGCCGGCCATGTCACAGGCCCAGACTCACACACCGAATCCTGCGCAGGCTCAACCTCAGCCTCAGCACCAACCTCAACCTCCACAGCAGCACCAACCTCAGCACCAACCTCAACCGCAACTCCAACACCAGCCTCAACACCAACCTCAGTCTCAGCCTCACCTTCAAGCGCAACCCCAACCCCAAGTACCGCCCCAACCCCAAGTACAGTCTCAACCTCAGGCGTCTCAACAAGTACAGCCTCAACCTCAGGTGCCTCAACCACAAGTGCAGCCTCAAGTACAAGCACACCCTCAACCAGTCCAATCCCCGCAACAGCCGTTACAACAGCAGTATCACCAACCACAGCCATCTCCCCATATTCAACCGTCGCAATCACCAGCTCCCGCGCAGCACCAGCAAGCAACCCCAAGCCAGCCCGGGACGCCAATCGTCGCCACGCAGCTCCAAAACGGGACGGCACCTCATCCTTCGCCTACTCCAACGATTCCCTCCACCCCAACGCCGTCGCACCTCTCCCAACACATCCCGACACCCCTCCAGCCCTCGCCTGCCCCGACGTACTCGCCTCAGCCGCAGCAGCAGCAGCCGTCCATGCCCGTGCAAACCGAGCTGCATAAGCTCGTTTCCGCGCCGGAGGCGACAATGTCCCAGACGGCGGTACAAGATGACGAGGCGGCGGCAGAGGCAGCCTTGTTGGAAGGCTTGCAAGCTGCCGTTGCACAAGCGCTGGCTTCTTGATTACGCGTTGAAGGGAGGATATGGGAGTTTCAAATCATATGCTTGCGTATGAGCTATTGATGGAGTTTATTCTATTTGGCCATGGCGCTTTTGAAGAGGGTTCCAAAAGGCGTTTATCATACGCTTCTTCTTTATATTTTTGGCTCTCTAACGCATAGACCTGTCTCTTTTCGTTCGTGAGCAGCAAGGAATTGAGGCACCGAGTATTGGGCAGCGGCGCAGAGTGTGCCCTTTCTTGACATGTCCAATATTCCTCTGAGCGAGACAGGTGGTGTACATATATATATATACATATACCTTTCCTATTGTCGTTTTTTTCTCTATTTCCTACGGGATTGTATAAGCGTTGACTGGGGCCGAGCAGCAAGACTACAATGGGACTGCAAATTTCATGTTCATTTTCATCTTTACTCTGTGGTGGAAGAGATTGGGGGAAGCGGATTATGATACCACTGGTGGAAACACGGCGAGAAACGGATTACAGAAAGGATTCGGGATGGAGGTCACTATGGGTATGAAAGAATAATAAAAAAGAAAGTAAGGAGTTATTATCCAAGTTTTTCGTGCCCTTGGAAATGTGAATGTGGATGTTTTTTTTGTATGTTTGGTCCTGGTGTTGGCTGCCTCTTTTGCATGAAGATGTGTGAAGTTACAGATGAAGCCAACATTCACCGGTTCCGACGGTTGTATTACTTACCTATGGTATAAATGCGCCTTGCGGCATATGTGAACTATGGCAGCTATGCCGAGTCAAAACGATTAGTCCTATGCATGATACATTTACGGGAAACCTCCCTCCGATAGAGCGACATGATGAGGACTTGACAGCTACTGCATCTTTGTGTGCTGCTGACTTCAGTGTTCTGTAAAAGTTGAGGGAGCCCAGCCGGCGATAGGCCTGACGGAGGCGTCTAGGAGCATCCATTTCTATGAATAGTTCTTTGAGTCTTCGGCCATGCCGTCCTAGGGCTGTAATAGAAAAGGGCGAAGTCGGCACGTGTTGCAACTGTTGAAGGTGAGTTCATTTGAGGCTTCAGTGTGAACAAGCCCTGAGTCATCGAGTGACGAACACGTAGGCCAGGAATCAGACATGGATCTTGGATTCTATGTTGAAGTGGTGAGCTTGTGATGATATGTTATTATTTTTTTTTTCTGGGAAAAAGGCAGACGAGGGAGGGTTTCCCAGACAGGCAGCCACTAGGGAAGAGCTTGATTGGTTCATTGCCGCCGTCTTTGGGGAGGAGGATGCGGTGAATGAGTAAACGAAGTCGGCGCCCTAGAAAGAGCTGTGACGACACCGATTTTCGAGGGTGTGGAATGGATCAGAGAGTACACAGACGCAATGCTGCCTGGAAGGGGCGGGCTGATTCTGGGAACCTACTTGATACTTGTGAAGTGTGGCGATAGTGGGAGGGTCGCTTAAGGTTGTGGCAGCCTTAAAGGACTAGAGATGGGGAGGGAGGAAGGGTCAACTTTGGCTTGGTGTGGATGGATGGATGGCTGGTTGCCTCTTGTATTGAGGCGTGTTGGTGGGAGGTGTTTGAGTGTTGGTTGAGTGAGCTGCTGTTAAGGGATTAGTGAGGATATGGCTCGGGGAAGGATGAAGAGGATCCGGTTCGTCGGAGGACTGTAGAGGGGATACGAGTTGACCTTGATACGCACATGTGCTTTGAGTTCAACTTGAGGTTGTCGTGTTACTGACAGTCGTTGATCCCAAAGTTACCTGTCGAGGCGGACAAGCTGTGATAAGTGAGTGAACATCTGAAAGTAAGAATTCAGCAGCAACCAGTGTTACCTGCGCCATCTGCGAGGAATCCCGTCCAGCAACGATGGACCCAAGCTGCTTGATCTGGCAGCAAGTCTGGCCCGGTTCGAGCACCAGCACCGCCTCAAAGCGGGAGCCTGCATAAATCGAGACGGGTCGAGATTTTCTGCAGGTCATTTGAAGGTGAGAGAGGGAGAGCATGGGAGGTGTGGCGCAGCAGGGAGCTGTAAACTTGTAAGTCGGAGGACTACCTACCTTATGGCGCGCCATACTGGGGCTGGAGACTTCAGCTGGGATGCCTCCCGGCGAGGAGAAGAGGGAATGAAAATGCGGCTCAAGTTTTGGCTGGAGAGGTGTTCTATACTTGTGCGAGTACACGGCTGTCAGCTTTGTTCTGAGTGAAACAGCAGGTATCTGAATCATTGATTGTATGTACCCCAGGACGCATGTCGCACGCGCAGTGGTCAGTCGTCGAGAGAGACGCGCGTGTATGCAGATGCAGGTCAGACACCCACGGGGCACAGTGCGCGCTCCTCCAGCCACACCCCGGCCTCAGCGTGGCAAAGGACCATCGCGCCCCTGTGAGAGCGGCAGCTCGCCTGTGGACCCGGCCTGAAGAGGGCATCAGCACAGTGCAATCTCCCACTAGAACCCCTGCCACTAAGAAACCCAAGTGCGCATGTCAACTGACTCCATCAGTAGCACCTCAGGGCCTCCCCTTGTGAGCCCCTCCTTGTCCTCTCCCCCCACACACCACAGCAGACCGGGAGCCTTACGGAATGGCATCATCGTGCGGTGCTTCAGCCCTGGTTTCTGGTTTGGGCGATTTTCCAGGAACCGAGGGGGCGTCGACAACCAATTGCTGGGTGTCGCTGGTTCCCAGGTTATCGATAGTCGCTTCAGTTTCCGAGAAGATGCAGCGTGCCTGCAGTGGTCGCTCGCGCTTATTCCGCCCGTTGCTGCGGCCCATCGTTGACGTGCATGGGTTCATGGAAGATTGGCGATACGATTGACGATGCTTTTTTTTTTCTTAAGACGGAGCTCGACAGACAGCGACAACCGAAACTGGATTCAAATCGATATGCCTTTGCCTTCTGCCTCTGTACTCTCCATCACTAATCATCTCAGCTATGGCCGAGTTGTGCAGGGCTTTCATGTTCCTCCCCTTTACGTTTCTCACCCAAAGGCCGACACCGGGTGACCACGTCCAGGCGACTCCGCCTCGTGGACTCTGTGCGAGGTGCCTCTTCTTCCCCCCCCAGGGCCCCCAAGGACTTTGAACAGTTGATGTTCAAAACTAAACCTGGTCTCGAACCTGCCGGCCCTCATGAGACTAAAAAAGACCACGGCCCTGGTCGAAGTGCTTCCTTCGACCGTACGCAAAGCCACCCTCACTACCAAGCAGCCACATCTCCTGATGGTGGTCATCGTTCAATAGCTTTTGCAAAGTACAAAGATTTTTGAACATATTTCATTCAGTGAACGGTTACGGGCCGCGTTTGTAGGACTGTATGTGTGTGTGTGTTCATGCGTGTTGCCGCCCTTGTTCTTTGATGGCCCCCCTCTTTGAACAGGCAAGAGTCCTATTTCTGGAGGATGATGATACGGGTCCACACTCTTCGGAGAAAGACTCAGTCTTGACATTATTGTGGCTGAGGCTCATCATTCAGCACTTGGATGAGTTGACAGATTGGGGTGTCTGCTTCGGTCACCTGGACTGACCGAGTGCTTCTGTGTAGTCTCAGGGCTGGTTTATATATACTCTGCCTGGGCCCCAGTGTCTTCTGATGGCTTTGGTTTGACCATTACATTACTTCAACTACGTTACTTCTTCAACTTATCCTTTCTCAGCTACAACTAACTCAACGGCAACTTTACAATATCATCGTCACCAACAGCAACCCTCTATCAGGAACACAACACCAGCTACTCAACTCAGCAACAATGGCCAAGCGGTGGTTCGTCGAAACCACCCCTGAGGGCCGGCAGCAGTTCGTCTCCATCAAGCGGTCGCGCTCCTACGGCGGCCACCACAACCGCGTCCGCGAAATCGACTACATCAAAGTCAGCCTCGACGAGTGGAACGCCCTCGTCGACAAGGAGCGCAAGCTGGAGGAGCTCAACAAGTCCGTCGTCGACGAAGTCAACCGCCTCAAGTCGACCGCCGCCACCGCCCAGGCCGAGGCCAAGCGCCTGACCGTCGTCGTCGTCCCCGGGCTCGAGAAGCAGATCGGCGTGCTGACGATCGAGAACGAGGCGCTCCGCCGGAGCATCGACAAGACAATTGGCGACAGCTCCTCCAAGCACCTCCGCGAGGAGGAGAGGCTGCGGTTCAAGATTACGAAGCTCGAGGCCGATAACCTCGAGCTGAGGGAGGAGAATGCGGGCCTGAGGGAGAAGAACCGGAGCTTGTCGAGGCAGCTCGAGCAGAGCTTCAGCCGGCGCGTGTCGGAGCTTCTTGGCGATGTCGAGTTTTGGAAGCATCAGTATAAGCACTGGCGGTCGCGGTACGACGAGCTGCTGAAGCGGTACAATGATATCTTCGACTTGATGGAGACGAGGACGAGGAAGATGAAGGCGTATGAGGACATTTTGCGGCGCAACGATATGATCTGAGCGTCTTTACCCTCTCCTTTGCTATGGTCTTTCTCCTTCATCTTCTTCTTGTCTGTCTTCCTGGGTCTTTACACGGTCACTTTTACCTGCAGAGTAACCCCGGAGATTGTCGACTGTATTACTTGGGCTTTCACTTTGGGTATGTTGGGGTTATCGACTATAGGATAGACGGTTGACTGACTTGCTGTTGCTTCTTGCATATAGACGAACCAGCGCCGAACCTCGGGCTTCACTTCTCTTTTTTTTTTTTTGTACAGGTATTTATACGGTTTGATGGGTTTAGGATTCGGATTTGGATATGATATCACGTCTCATATGTCTCTTGGATTTGATGAAATATTGACGGGATCTTCTTTATACTTTGGTTTCTGCATAACGCTTTTTATTTGCTTTACGACGTGAGACGTTGGGAAACATAACATATACCCCATAAATATACATCACTCCTTTTTCTTTCTTTTGTAAAATGAGAGCCATGTACATGCGACCAACCAGTATCGTCCGACTCGTGATGCATCCGTATGGCATCAAGTCTCAGAAAAGCCTGGAGAAGCGTCATGTGAACTATTTTCATAAGTTGTACACTAAAAATCTCGAGTATGCCGTTCGATATCGATATGTCATCACGCGATGCTTATTAGAGTTCATAAGGTATAAGCACAGCCTGATAAGAAAGCCACAAGCAAACGCTGGCTTCGAGAAATATTGAATAGGAAAAAGAGTATGGATGGATAAAGACTTTTGTTACTTGGCTGTTATATTCAGACGTTGTTGCATTTCAAGTGGCGACCGCAATGAAGCATTTATCTTCTATGGGGTTAGAACACCCCTGTTTTGGGGGTACGTGAACTGAATACTATACTTAGTTGTCATGGCTTGTTGCTCGGGTATGTGTAACTTTGCCTCTCCCAAGCCTGGGTTCTCCCCTGCACTTTTCTGTGTTTGCTTGGTGCATAGATGGAGTCGTTGGATGCTGTGCTCTCGAAACACCACAAGCAAAAGCCAAGGAAGCGGAAAAAAAGAAAAAGAAATGCTTCAATTTCGGTGTGTTGAAGGGGCATAAGGACAACACAAAATGTTACACATGGTCCAACTCGGAAATGACGTGAAACGTTGAAGAAGAAGAAAACAGAGTGATGACGAAGATGTCCGCTTTTGAGCCTGTGGAGGACGGAGTTCGTTTAGGCGTTTATTAAGGCGTTTTCTCATGTCGAGCCACGGTGATGAGGTGGCTGGTTGTACGAAGAAAGTTGAAGGATTGGATGTGGTTCTACGGAGGGTTGAGTGCTTGGGCAGCTTTTTGCCACTTTGATGCGCTTCTGTGTGATGATGGGGATCCCCGGTTTGCCTGGGGAGGAAACATGAGAATGGCAGAGTGAATGAAGCGCTCACCTAAGTACCTACGGTACAACAAATACATGTAGACAGTCGGAGGCGTCTTTGGTTGAGAAGACGCAGCCGTTTGGTCGCCGTCACTTGTCATCCCGACACTGCCACAGACCGGGCCCAAGCCACGGCGTCCAAGTCAGCGCTGGTGAGAGCGGCCCGATCCGCCGAGTTGATGCCTAAAGCAAGGTAGACGCTGTTTAGTGGGAATTTGGTGCATGAAGATGGGATCTGTCTATGGCATTCTGATGGTTTGTCGGTTTAAAAATTCACAATGAAAAATTGGACAGTGGATGAGCAAATCTGCAGGTTGTCTCAGAGGCACGTACGTACATGCACCTCTGCGGCGGTGACACTCCGATTTCTGCAGGCTTCCCGCGTGTGTCTATCGGATCGCTACGATACGACATGCGCTGTCAAGTTTGAGCCCTACATGCATGCATTGACCTCTTGAGCCGTGACGGCGCTGCGGTGCGGCCAGAGAAGGAAAGCAGGAACACCAACCATTGAAATTGGAAGATCGGTGAAGTGGCAGCCACTACGATGCGGAATGGAATGGAATCGACGGAAGGCTGCCTTTGAGAGGAGGTCAGTTGTGCTTGAAGGCGGTGACGTTCGGGTCGCAGCAGCATCGACACCAGCATCAAGGACGACCTCGGAGTTGAAGTGATTATTGTGACTGAACCAGGGCTCACATGCGACAATAGAAAAGAGCATAATGTCAAGCAACCGTTGATGTATTGGGGATGTCGTCCCAAGTATCGACCGAGGTTTTCAGGTTGTAGATATACCTCCACAGTTCAGCTCAAGACAGCGTCAAGACATTCAACACCATCTCGTGATATCCAGCCAGCTTACCTCATTTGCAAGTCCTGAGTGACTCACCGTCTTCGATCGGCTTCTCTCATGCCAGCTCACCTGGTCCGCGGCAGGCTGCAGCGTGTCCGAGAAAGAAGGAGGAAATGAGCAAGCTCACCCAATCCAATCGAATCTTTTGGCTTCTCCTGCATCTCATTAGCGGCAGCACCATTCATTCTTGGGGGCTGTAAAGCAGAAAAAAAATCGACCAAGGCAGCCGTCGACGCCTTGACAAAGAAAAAGACACAGCCCTCTGCGTGGCCAATCGCGGGACAGAAGACGGCCGTGACAAGGACTCGGAGGGTTTTGGGAGACGCCCGAGGGCCAGTCCATGGGATGTTTGGCGTTGTAGCAGATACACGACGGGGCGTGTGAGAATGAGAACAAGAATACCTTAGGCCGTGGGCTGGAGGTGAAGGGGCGCGTGGATTCCCGTGAGGATTGCTGAGCTGGAGGAGTACCTTGCCGGGACGGCTTACACTGCGTGATACCGCACGTCCATGTACTCGATACTCTGACACTCTTGTCCTTCCTCCTTCTTGCAGTGTCTACCTTGATATTACACGCCTGGTTTGTTTATGTGATATGGTTCTCTCTCTCTGCTGACACCTCTTAGTACTATTATCGCTATTACCACCTGTATGGCGCCACACCCTCCCTCCCGTCCGGCCACTTTGCAGTGAATTTCCTCAGCCCCTGGTCCTGTCCTGTTCTGTCCAGATCCTCCCAGGCGACACATCCGTCGAATCGTGTCCCTTGCACCTCCGACACGCGACTCCATCTGAAAGCGTGCGGACCTTGCAGACGCACATGAGCATTTTTGCATTTGCAGACACATCTCTGCCCTCGACCTGCATATTCCACAGCGCCCGGTGCATAGCGCGCTTGGGTTGACGAGTGAAAAAAAAGGGCTTTGGGTGCCTCGGCTGCTTGATCGCCTGCGTCTTTTCCCACCCCTGCCGCACAAGCGTTGGGCAGCGTCGCATCCCACCTGCGATTGGGAAAAAAAGAAACCAGAGAGAGAGCGAGAAAAAAAAAAGGTGTTACCTGATAAGACTCATCTTGCGTCTGTCTATCGGTCGCAAATCATATCGCCAGCCATGTCTCTGCATCAGCGAGTCTCCTCCCATTCGCGCAGGGCCTCGGTGTCGCAGGCGCAATCGCCTTTCGGTTCGTCTACCCTGTCTTCCTTCTTCTGCCGCATTAAACTTCCTCTCCGTCCCCTACGAGTGGGATTCCACCGATCCTGTCGCTTACCTGTACTTACAATCTTGCAGTACCCTCCGACATTGACCGTCACCTGCTCGACTCTCTCAACAATGCTCACACCGAGCTGAACAAAACTAACTCAGAAAGGGACCGCTACCTCATTTTATACAACCAGGCCGACAAGAAGCTCACTGAGGCGACGGCCATCATCACCGACCTCAAGGCCCAGAATCAAACCTTCAAGGATGGCGCCGCCGCATTCCAAGAAAGATATGAGCTCCTCATAAAGGAAAATGATCGGCTCCGCCACGAGAACGGCGAGCTGGCCCGGGGCTTCGACGACCTCAAGGCCAAGTACACCGAGCTCTCCCACCGTTACAATGCGCTGAACAGCGCTGCTCCCTCCTTCTCCTCCAACGCCGGTAGCGGTCAGTCCGGCTCACTGCCGGAGCGCCCCAAGGTCTCCCGCTCCTCAAGTAAGAAGGAGCGCAAGGAGGACCGCGAGGAACGTAGCCGTGTCCGAGACAGGGAAAAGTCGCGCGACCGCACCAAGGAAGACAAGCGTGACAAGGAAAAGGAAAAGGAAAAGGACAAAGAAAGGGAGAAGGAGAAGAAGGAGCACAAGGCGGAAAAGGAACGCCTCTCTCGTCGCTTCGAGGAGAGGCGCCCGGCCCCGCCCGCTCCGGCGCCTCCACCTCCCCCGATGGCCCACCGGCGCAACAGCTTCATCGAGGGCTGGGGCCCCGGCGGCCGGTCGTCGTCAGCCTCGGGATCCTCCACTCGCAGTTACACCAACGGGCCCAACGGAATCACTGGACCCAATGGACTCCACGGCCCCCATGGCGGGCCTCACGGCCTCAACGGACACAACGGCCACATGGGACACGTGCAAGTGCCCGTTGTCACACCTGGCAGCAAGCCCGTCTATGCCAGCATTCCCCGGACGGCAGCAAACCCAATGACTCCTCGGATCTTCAGCGTCGCTGGAAGCACAGCCGCCGTGTTCGACGATGACGGGAGTTACGAGGACGGCAATTACCATCCCTATCCCATCCCTCAGCCCAGGACTGAGTAAGGCTGGGTCTCCCTGGATGCCAGTCAACGACAAAGAAAACAAACATACCACAAAAAGAGAGAAAAAAAAAAGAAAGAGAAAAGCGTATTGGTTGCCTAGACAGCCGCGTGCATGCTTGCAGGCTGCATCGTGGCGCTCGCTGTGGAGCTAGTTGCTCTTCGTCGAGTGGTTTGCCTCACTTGACTTCGTTTCGATTTGCGTCCTTCTTCACCTCATGATGCCCAATGGGGCTGTCTCTTCTACTTCAACACTTCTTTGTTTTGCCCTTCTACCATTGTCGGTTTCTGATATCGGCTTCGGTCAAATTCAACAATCGGGATATGTATGCTTTTCTTACGGCCCCGGTTCCACTTGTCCGATCTCGCCCCAGGATTTTCTGCGGGTACTCAAACCGACCCTCTGCCGTTCTCGGATCTGGATCATGCATCTTGGACCAATGTCTTTCTCCGCTTTGTCTTTTACCCACCCGGCTATTTTGGGCACTATGCTGCTTGGATGTTAGCATCGACTCCTGCGATCCTTTGGAGTGACGCATCGCGACCCGCTCGGGATGCCGTCAACTGTAAAGGGAATTTGCCGACTGCAAGACGGCTCGGCTAGGTCGTCGATGTCGGTCGTTTCTTGGTTTTCCTTTTCTGACTCTTCTTTTCTTCCCTGCTCGCCATCTTGTTCTACATTGTTTCCCGGCGATCAGCTCTATATTTCGGCCATCGCACCCCTCTCCTGCTGCCTAGTTGCCCCCCTAGTTCGTTTCTGCTTTCGGGTTCACTTGTAAGTCGTTGAGTTCGTGCAGAAATTTCCAGCACATCACCGCTGCCTGGCATCATGAAGCTTTCCCCTGCTCTTTCTGATGAACATGCTCGCTGGGCAGAGCGACAGCCGGTCTTCTTCACTGGATCAGCTTCTACTCACGGCCGTCACGTCAACGTCTCCCCCAAAGGTCTTGATGCGCACTTTGCCGTCTTCGGCCCAAACCAGTGCGCCTACATTGATCGAACTGGATCTGGGTGCGAGACAATTTCTCATGCGTACGAGAATGGCCGCCTTTGTCTCATGTTTATGAGCTTTGGCCCTTCGCCGGGCATCCTACGACTCTTTTGTCGTGCCACGGTTGTGGAGTGGGATCAGCCCGCATTCCCTGACTTGGTGCGCAAGATTGCAAAGGGCAAACGAGAGGCTTTTGACGGTGCTCGCGCCGTCATCCTTTGCGACATTTGGCAGACCCAAACCAGCTGTGGCTTTGGTGTCCCGCGGGTCAAGAAGGAACTCTACTCTTCTGAGGGTGACGGGGATGACTCAAGCAACGCTCCCGTCGTCTTTGGGACTGTTGAAGACATCCTCCGCCGAGGGCTTCGGGATGGCGAAAAGCTCACCGAGCTTTCCGTGTTTGAACAGCGCCCCAATCTAGACAACTACTCTGCGAAACAGGCCCAGAACAACAAGACGCTGAGCTATCAAGTCACCAACAATTGCAGCAGTCTTGATGGCCTTCCTGGGCTAAGAGCAGCACGGCGCGAGGCCGGACAAAGGCTTTGGCTGGGTGATCTGAAGGCCAGGGTACGACGAATTGCCTCTGAAGGAGAAGCCGTTGCGGTGGGTTTCTTGTTAGCAGTCGTGTTGTATGTTGTTTTGGCTTGGATAGATGTACGCTGGGTTTCTACGATTACGATGTAACGGTATCTGGTCACTTATGACATAGACGGAGGATTGGTTCTCATGTTTTCCTTTTGTTACCCTCTTTTCTTTTTTCGTCTTTGCCTTTTTATTCCCCTTGCTATTTTCTTGTTGGATTTTCTATTTTTCTTGTCTCACCAAATTTGTGCTTCTTCTTCATTTCGTCTCCAGCCTTTACGATTATGTTTGTGGGTTTTTGTATTCTGATTCGTTTTCTGTCTCAACGCCTTTGTATGCTTTGGAATTAGATGTATGTGGATGATCCCTTGCGGGTGAAAAGTGGTTACTACCTCGGCTTATAAAATGCTGCTTTGCTCTCTAGCATGAAGATTTCTACCTCGACGAGCGTGCCAAAGTCCGTCGTAATGCGTGATGCTCATTGCCTATATCTACGGTAGACTGACTGACCAGTTGACGTAGTGGAATTGCGGTTTCGCCAAGGTCTCGGAAGAGACAGAATCTAAGCTGTTTTCTATATGTTCAAAGCATGACCAAGTGTAACGACCTAGTTCTGATCGTTCACCAAAACAGAATACATGGAGCTCGAACAATGTTTGTTTCGCTGCAAAATTGGCATTCGGCTACGGGACCAGATGGCCTTTCGAGAAAGCTAGCTACCAATATGAAGCCCGAGACCCTGGCAGTCATGAAGCTCTCCGCGATTCGCTCGCTCACTCATCTTGCAGATTTACATGCTTGCCTATATACAGGTATCTTTAGGGGGGATGGAGAAACCCCCCATTCGACCTCGGAACAAAGGACTTATCGTGTACCGTCGGAGTCCCCAGCAGCGGAATGGCAGAACAAGAGTGCCCTCTCCTTCTGCCCCTAGTTCCGAGTCATTAGACAATCTTTTGCAGTAGATTGGGCCCCGGCAAGCGATGGAAGATTGACTCTCGTGATTTTCCACATTCTTACAGCGTAAAGCGTGAGAAACGAGTCTCTCACTTTTCGTATCCCACTTTAAGGCTAGCCTTTCTTCCTTTCCCCATGGGGAAGAAAGACTCCGAGCTTTGGAAAAATTCCGAGCTTTGGAGGCGCACCTGAGTCGACGGGATCTGTGAAGATCAATGTCTAAACTGGAATGATATGAAAAGCGTCAAAGGGTTTGACAGAAGTCGTAGAACTGCTCAGCCGCCGCTCGTTGCAGCAACAGCAGTTCCATTAGTAGAAGCTGCTGCTCCCTTACCGCCCCTTCCACGCCTGCCACGCCCAGAGTTCGCATTCGAGCTCTTCTCGGGAGCAGCACCGTCCTTCGCCGTGTTAGACGTGGAAGGTGTGGCAGCAGTGTTGCCGCTGCCAGATGTGGTGGAAGCGGCAGGCTTCTTGTCCTTGCGCTCCAAGACCTGGACCGTGCCTTGCGCGACAGCGATGGGACTGGCTGAGATGGCCTTGGCAAGGCCAGAGTGGTCTGCAAAATCGACATAAGCAAAGCCCTTGCGTTTGTCCACCTCGATGAACGTGACGGCGCCGAACGCCTCGAGAGCCTGCTTCAACACGGGCTCCGTAATGCCCTGGGAAGAGTTGGCGTGCTTCACAAAGCCGCGGGTGGCGTTGGCGGACGAAGAGGCTGCGCCGGATTTCTTCTGAGTGCCCGAAGACTTGGCAGAAGCACCCTTGGAACCGTTTGCCGCACCGGTGGCCGGCTTGGAGCTGTTGTTTTGCTGGGTGGCGGAGGCCGTCTCAGCAGCAGATCTTGCTGCATCTCCCTCGCCGCCGGCGCCACCCTTCTTTTTGAGAATGACAGGCGTGGTCGTGCTGGGCGATTCCGAGGTCTTGGCCTTGTCGGCATTTTTACCGCCACGAGCCTTGCGCGCTGACTGCTGGCCCTTGGAGGCGTTGTCTTTGGCAGGTGCTTGAGAACTTTTTGATTCAGCCGGAGCCGGCTCACTGGGTGCCGTGTTTTCGTTCGCTGGGCTGGGCTGTTCTTTGCTCTCCTTGCCGGCTGCGGCAGGCTTGGAACCGGCCTCTGCCTTTGCAGCGTCTTGTCGGGCTCGTCGATAGGCACTGCCAGGGCTAAGGCCAAGGTCTCGCTGCAATATGCGGGCGGCAATCGAGACGCCGGCACGGCGACTCTTGGGAGTCGCTTCTGCGGTGCTGGCAGCAGTATCACTTGTGCTGGCTTTGTTGGTCTGACTTGCGGCCTGCTTGGAGGCTTCAGTAGATTGCTCAGCAGCAGCGGCCTTCTTAGTGAGGATCTTGACAGGCTCTTTAGGGGCAGCCTTCTCCGATTTTGGGTTCTTGGCCTCCTTGCCCTTCTTTTTAGAGGTCTCGTCCTCCTTTGACGCGGCTTTGCCTTTTGACGCCGAGGCCTCTTGTTGCCTTGCGTGCTTTGCGCTCTTGGCAGCAGCAGCCTCCTTGGCTTTATTTGCCTTCTTTTCCTTCAAATACTCAATCAAAGGCGTGGTGGTGACCTTGGTTTCGGATGCCTCCTCGACGTCATCATTCTCGATACCTTCTTTGGGCGGAGTGGGGTTGGCAAGCTCTTCAAGGAATGCCATGAACTCGGGGTCCTGATCGATAGTTCCCTGCCGAGCATCTACCCGCTTCTTGTTCCCTGGAACCTTCTTGTAGAGGGCAATCTCTAGGACAGGGGGTCCGATGAGAGAAGGGCTGGTGAAGGTAGATTTTGCGTCCTCCCAGTTGGCGTTTCGAACGATGTCACTGAGTGGCATAATGTATTCCTTGCGCATCAGGTGGATGTATGCTCTGGCGGGCCGCGATGGCTTCGAGAGCCTTTGATCGCCAGTGTTAGTGCGTCCAAGTCCTGAGGTAACAAAGAGAAAGAAAATGCGCATTTGGAGGCTCGGAGACGTACTCGTTGGAGACCTTGCCAGCGGCATAGGAGAACCAGTCGACCTTTCCATTGCCCACAGCCCACTCAGGTCCCAGGATAGACAGACATTCAGCCTCAGTCAGGCCAGGCGGCAGGCGGCGGATGATGACCTTTTCGCCTTCCTGGGGAGCTCTGGTCTTGGTCGCCTTTGGCGTGTCTGCATCGTGGGCGGTGCTTCGAGCCTCGCCGTGCTTCTCAGCTGAGCCCTTGCCCTTACCTGGACGGTCGGCGGCGGCTTTACCCTGAGCAGGGCGCATCAGTTCAGCGGTTCCCCGACAGAGCGCCGGGCATCATCTCACCTTGGTAGACTCGGCTGCCGAGGCGTTTGTCCTGCGAGATAGGACCTGCGGTGTTTGAGTCGACATTGCGCATGTCGCAGAGCTTGGGAGACCTGACGTCAGGAGTCTGTAGCAGCATGTGCAAGCATCAAAGGAGCCTGGTCAGCCAATCCGGCGGCCGTCGAGAGCGAGGCTGAGATTCGAGATGGTGAGGGTCAGATGGGCGAGGATGAACGATGATCAGAGATGGAGTCGCAGCCTTTCGTCATTTGAGAAAACGCGGGCCCACTAGTCACGGTGTACGGCAGGGAGTAACGATTGGCGTGTGTCAGAGGTGAAGCAGGGCGGCGGCGGTTGGTCAGACGGCAATGCTCTCACGTTGAGGTTGTGAAATGGGAGTCGCTCGAGCCTCGTTTTTCTGCGCCGTGGTTGAGCAGCGACTTGCGTTTAGGTCTATGGAGCGGTCACGTGCCGCGGCGGATGAAGATGAGACGAGGTCTGATGGAATGCTGAAGGTGATGATGACAAAGATGGGTGCAGCTCTGAGAATCATACACCGAGTAAGAGAGTAGGTAAGAAGGCAGGCAGTACAATACATGGGGCTTTACGAGACAAGAGGGAGAGAGGCGTGCATAACCGGTCAGGCAGTATCATCAACTTCCATGTAGGACGTGAGTGAGCATCCAGTCGTCACCACATATCAGTCAGCCACTGAAAGGCCAGTGGAGCACAGTCGAGGCAAGGCACCTCCAGCGGCTCCCATTAGCGCAGCACGTCACTGTCCAGCAGGCGCACAGGCCCCTCCGAGGAAGATCCGGCGCCCTCGTCCCACTGAAGCGCAGCCCCTGGCGCCCTGAAACCGCTGCCAAACACCGCCGCAGCCAAAACCCCCCACCACAGAAACTCGATGGCCATCTTGGGCCGCTGATGAAAGCATCTAATCTCTAATCACAGCCATCCATCCACCTCCTACATCACCCGCATATCGGCATCCTGTCGGGCTGTCTTCGACCCAGCAGCTTGCGACGTCGCCTCTCCCAGTCGCTACGATGACGGCAAACGTACCTCGACCAGGGCCTGCCAACCTGGGCCCCAATGCCGGGCTAGACGAGTGGCTGGAGGAGGCCAAGCAGTGCCACTACCTGCCCGAGAGGGCCATGAAGGAGCTGTGCGAAAAGGTCAAGGAGATATTGATGGAGGGTATGGCACGAACAAGCAGAGAGAGAGAGGGAGTGTGTGTGTGGAAACGCAGTCGCTAACGCCACGAGTGTTGTCGCAGAGTCCAACATCCAGCCCGTCTGCACGCCCGTCACCGTCTGCGGCGACATCCACGGCCAGTTCTACGACCTGCTCGAGCTCTTCCGCGTCGCCGGCGGCATGCCGGGCGAGACCAACGTCCAGGCGCCCAAGTCGGCGACCACCGTCATCACCTCCGAGGACATCGAGCCGCCCACCGAGATCACAAACCCGAAGCTGCGCAAGAAGCTAAAGTCGCCTGGGGGCGGCGCCGATAGCGCGGGCGACGCGGACGGCGACGAGGACGGCGAGGACGAGCAGCAGCAGCAGGCAGCCGGCGATGTGCCCGCGACGAGCACGGTGACGTCGTCGCAGAGCGCGGAGACTCGCTTTGTCTTTCTTGGAGACTACGTCGATAGAGGATACTTTAGCTTGGAGGCGTTTACATTGCTCATGTGCTTGAAGGCAAAGTATGTTGTTACCGCTTGTTGCCTTTGGAATGCTCCCTTGCCTCAGCGCTGCATGGGATGGGGCGATCTCTTTTAAAAAAAAACCTCTCTTCTGGTCCCATCTGTTCTTTGGTTTATTTCGAACAATACTGACGCCGTATAGATACCCCGATCGCATTGTTCTTGTCCGAGGGAACCACGAATCCCGCCAAATCACACAGGTGTACGGCTTCTACGAAGAATGTCAGCAGAAATACGGCAACGCATCCGTATGGAAGGCATGCTGCCATGTCTTCGACTTCCTCGTTCTCGCTGCCATCGTCGATGGGGAGCTCCTCTGCGTCCACGGCGGCCTGAGTCCCGAGATCCGGACTATCGATCAGATCCGTGTCGTTGCCCGCGCGCAGGAAATCCCCCACGAGGGAGCGTTTTGCGATCTCGTATGGTCAGATCCTGACGACATTGACACGTGGGCCGTGAGCCCGAGAGGAGCAGGGTGGCTGTTTGGCGACAAGGTTGCCACCGAGTTCAACCATGTCAACGGCCTAAAGTTGATTGCGCGAGCGCATCAGCTTGTGAATGAAGGATATAAAGTGAGTTGGCCTCGAGAATATGAGAAGCCTAGCTGCTTTGCGCCGACGTGGCTAATCCCAATTCCCAGTATCATTTTGACGAAAATTCAGTCGTGACGGTCTGGTCGGCGCCCAACTACTGCTACCGATGCGGCAACGTCGCGTCAATAATGACGGTCGACAATGACCTGGCCCCCAAGTTTAGCATATTCTCCGCGGTTCCAGATGACATGAGGCATGTCCCCGCAAGTCGTAGATCGCCGGGCGACTACTTTTTGTGATGAGACTGTGAGAGTGACGAAGAAGAGAAGGGGTAGGGGAGAGACGGGGGATGGGAGACAGAGATGAATTAGATTGGGACGAGTCGGGTTGGGTTTTTGCATGTAAACTACTAGCATCCGGGTTGAGATATCCAGGACTTTGAAGAATCGACGACGCATCAGGATTATGGGTAGGACGGGCGGGGATCTGGCTAGCGGACACGAATAGCGCTGATTATTATTAGAAGGATATTTGATACACGTTGTCTTGGTTTCTCTCTATTGGCGATGCTGATTGAGGCTGATTGAGTTGGTGTTGCTGGTGGTCGAGTTGGCTTGACGCAGTAGTGAGTAAGTGGGCTGCAGAAATCTCAACCTCACATTTACGTCTCATCTTCTCCATCATCACGAATAATGCAACGAGCAGCCACTTGTAAACTGAAGAGATGACTACATGTCCCTACGCATGTGATTCTATACGAATCTCATTACTTAACTGAATCACTCGACGGTGTCAGCTCAATGAGGCCCCAGCAGTCAGGCAGCGAAAGTCGCCACCGAAAACCGAAGCCGCGTCAAGTCAATCCCATCACAGCCGCAGTCTCGAAATGGATCACCACAACACTTGCCTCTACAAGTCCCGGCAGTCATGATGATGACCAGGACTCTCGAAACGAAAGGCTGTTGAGCTCGGCGCCGAAGCGCTTCACCGTCTATGAGCCTCTCGCCTTACTCCCGACGGGAAGCTTCGCCAGCGAACCGTGGGCCTCTTTGCTTCGGGCCTGCGACGAAGAAGCCCGTGATGCGCTATGGACGTCCATCCTGGAGCATATATCCAAAGCTGGACAGGGCAAGGTCACCCATCTTGCCGTGAACGAGGGCATTCCGCTGCACAAGGATGGAGAAGAAGAAGAAGAAGCCGTGAACGTGCGCAGGAGTCCGAGCGGACTGAAGATGCTCTTTGGCGATTTTGGACCTGCGGGAGTCGTAGTCGGCGAGGAGCCTACGGAGAGGGACTTTGATGAGGCGTTTTGGGTCGGGACGAAGCAGAATGGGATCATGCAGACGTGGGCGCCCAGATGGACCATGTTTTCGCGGGGGAACGTCAAGGAGAAGGCCCGCGTCTTGGGATTCAAAAGCCCTTCTTCTGTGAGATGGCGAGGAGGAGGAGGAGGAGGAGGAGGAGGAGGAGGAGGAGGAGGAGAGGATAGATGGGCAGTGGATCTGTATGCCGGGATTGGGTACTTTGTGTTTTCATATGCCAAGCTGGGGATGAGGGTTCTGTGCTGGGAGATTAATCCCTGGAGCGTGGAGGGGCTTCGACGAGGTGCCCTGGCGAACAAGTGGACTGTCAAAGTCGTTCAAGGGGAGGAGTTGAGGATGTCGATGGAGACCCTGTTGGCTGGGGGAGAGCAGATCGTCGTCTTTCTGGAGAGCAACGAGAGGGCCGGGGGACGCATACGGGAGGCGCACGAGAAGGGGCTTGCCCGCGACATCGAGCACGTCAATTGCGGGTTTCTGCCTACGAGCGAGCCGGTGTGGAAGAGCGCGTGGGAGATGACGGGGTTGGCGACGACGACGACGGAGGCTTGGTTGCATTTGCACGAGAATGTTGGGGTGGAGGATCTTGAATCTCGGAGGGCTTCCGTTCAGGGCATACTTGAGGCGTGGGCTGCTGAGGAGGAGGATTCTTTAGGGGCGCAGTCGAGGGTGCCGAGCGTGGAGCATGTTGAGCAGGTCAAGACGTTTGCGCCGGGGGTCTGGCATTGTGTCTTTGATGTGTCTATTAGAGGGAGTAAAAGTAGTAGTAGGTAGTATATCTAATAATTGTACATGAAGAGTTAATATATGCAGCACATCAGAAACATTCAACATATCAACATCATGGCGGATTCATCCTCCTCCTATCAGCCCCCGAACTGCGCCGTCGCTTTCCCAAAGTCTGTCTCATAAGCATTCCTCAATCATGGCTAGCCTCTTCAGCTGTCCTTGAGGAATATCTTGGGGATATTCTCCTCTATGATGGCCATCTGGTCCATCTTCTCCAGCCTCTCCTCCTCCTCCTCCATCTCCTCATGCTTCTTGAAATGCTCGATATCCTCGGGATGGTTCAGGTCCTCGAGCTTGGAGTTCTCGTCGTGGTACTTCTCCCAATGGTGGATCTCGTACTCGTACTCGTCGTCGCCGTGGTGGCCGGGCCCCGTGTTCATGTCCGGCAGCGTCTTGCCCTGCGCGGTGAAGTCCTTCCACTCGTCGCGGCTGACGACGCCGTCGCGGTTGAGGTCGAGCAGGTCCAGCAGCCCGCGCAGGATCTCGTCGCGGCGCTCCCAGGAGACGTGCTTGTTGGACTCGTCCATGAGGCCGTAGGTGCGGAGCAGCTCGTCGCCTTTCCAGTAGCCGTCGCTGTCGTAGTCGTGGAGGGTGAAGAAGGAGGCGGCGTCCCAGCCGTCGACGTGGTGCTCCTCTAGAAGGGAGGGCGGTGGTTTAGTACTAATCATTGATCGAAGGGAATTCGGCAATCTGGGTCTCGGGAGCTTACCGGCCATGTGTTTTGTCATCCAGTTGGCGTTTGCATCGACAATTGGCTTCTGGGAGTGCGAGCCGTGGGCAATGGCCAGACCCGCGACGGCGGAGCAGAGGAGGAACGATCGCATCTTGTCGCGCAATCTGAAGGATTCGCTGGACAGAGAAAGTAACGAGAGGAGGAAAAGACAGAATGCAATGCGACAGGATGCGATGCAGTGGGTTGCGACAATTGCAAGTACAAGTACACGATGCTGAGAAGAGGCCGAGATGAGAGGTGGCGCTTCGTTAGCTGTGCTTTTGCGCTACGGCGCACATGGCAGAGTGACGCCCAGGGGCGGGGGGGGCGCCATAACGGCATCCGAACAGCGCTGAAGCTACAGTACTTCCCCAATGCAACGTCTTTATCTCTTGTAGCATCACATGGGCATTGACTCATACAGGCTGGTCATCTCGACTCTTCAGTCCGGTGCTATCCGTCTATTGTACATACGCTGAGAACTCCAATCGAAACATGAGCCAGCTTGTGAAACATCTTTCTGCTAGTATATCAACTGTAACCGCTGCTCAGGTCTCTGCCTATAAGCTGGACCCCGTGATCTCGCGTTGTCCCTCCGCCCCGCCTCGCGTCTCCCTTCGCGAACCACTTCTCACGCCAGCAGCCGAGCATTTCCAAGCTCCCCCATCATCTCTCCGTCCCTCCAGAAAGACATCATCGCAATCCCCTCATCATGAGCAAGTCAGTCGAGCTCGCCCTCGTCTCGCTGATGCCGACATACGGCTCCGACCTGCCCCCCTCCCTCGTCGAATCCGCCAGCTCCCTCCTCGCCCAGTCGCGGCATCTAGCCAGCACTCTCAAAGCCGAAGAGGAGATTGCCCGCCTCTATGCCTGTGCGCACATTGCCTGCAACAGGTAATCGATTACTCCCACCGATCCAGCTTCGAAGGTGTTTTCGGTCATTAATCAGTTGAGAACTACCCGCAGACTCAAGATTCCGCTTGACCTCCCGACGATAGAGCCTCGGCCACCTGTACCTCCTCGGATCTATAAGCGCCTCTACACACATCTTGACAACATCCTTCCAAATACGTCAGCCAGCGGGCGCAGAACACGCAGGCAGCGGGACGTGGGGGAGTCGCCGGCATCGCAGACACGCCCAGTCCCTTCACGGCCTGAGCCCACCAAAGAGACCAGTCTTGCGCAGTTTCGAAAACAGGCGGGCTCGAATCCCAATACGCCGACCAAATCGAGCAAGCATGGCCACCTGAGCATCCAAGATTCCGACATGTACCCCTGGGTTCAGCCCGTCATACGGCACCTCTGCGCTGGGTCCGGACACAAGAAATTGGCGCCGTCGATGCTGGCGGGCATGGAGTCGATTTTGCTCCCTGGGGGACGGAAAACGAAGGATGCGTGGGCATGGGAGAACACGACGGCGTTATGTGCGGCCATTGTCTTCTTTGTCGCGATGCGCGTGAGCGACGCGGATCTTGAGCAAGCGATGCAGCCTCAAATCTACAAACCGGCTCGCGCCGAGGTTCTCGGTCAGCTTGGCCGAGCCCGGCAGGAAGTCGAGGTCAAAGGAGTAGAGCCAGATGTCCTCTGGGAAGGCTGGACGGATCTGAAAGATGACGATTTTGACGCCGCGGTGTCAAGGGTTCGTGAAAGTGGCTGGTTAGAGACCGACTGGTACCATGGGATCACGGATGTCATGGATCAAAACCTGCGGCAGGGTGATGATGTCGAGCATCCACACGAGGAGGAGGATGCGGCCCAGGGTCAGCAACAAAGAGCGGATACCATGTTCCAGGATAAATACGATTACTTGAGCGAGGGCCGTAGGGCAGAGTACAGGACATGGAAAGAGGCCACCTTGGCGCGGATTGCAGTGCTGTCTGCGTCGCTGGAGAGCAGTGGAGGCAATGATACCCCGATGAGCAGCTAAGTAGAACACATGGACACCAGGATGTCTATGTATAGGATTTCGCTTCTTTCCTATCGACATAATGTACAACTCTCAACGCATGAGACTTGGGCTACATCCTCCTAGGCGAGCTTGCCCGGGACAAAAGGATGTCCAGCGCTCAATCCTCCATCGACAGCCCAGGCCTGTCCGTTCACATAGCTCGCCTCATCGCTCCCCAAGAACAGGACCACGCGCGCAACCTCATCCGCACGCCCGCCACGCTTCGTCGGGTTCAGCTGCCCAATCTTCTTCTCGCTGCCCCGCGCGCGCGCAGCCTCGTACACGGGCGCGGTCATGCCAGTCTCGATGATGCCGGGGCAGATGGCGTTGACGCGGACGCCGGAGCCGGCGAGCTGGTAGGAGATTGTCTGGGCGAGGGAGACGACGCCGGCCTTGGCGGCGGAGTAGGCGGTGCTGCCGGCGTTGGAGCGGAGGCCGGCGACGGAGGCGGTGCCGATGATGCTGCCGCCGGGAGCGGGCTTCTGGGGGGATGTTTTTGCCATGGCTGGGGCGGCGTGTTTGGCGGCGAGGAAGACGCTTTAGTAGCTTTTGGGTTAGTCTTCGTCGGAATAGATGGACAAGCTGTATATATGTGAGGGTATGGAGAGCCAGGGAAACGAACCTCAGGGTGTTGACCTTGTACACATTCATAAAATCCTCGGCGCTGAGGCCGGTGAAGATGACGTTGGGACCGGTGATGCCCGCGTTGGCGAAGAAGACGTCGAGGCGGCCGTAGCGCTGCACTGCGTCGTCAACCACGGCCTTGACCTTGGCTTCATCCGAGGCATCGAACTGGCGCGTGTGGACGTCGACAGCCGGGTACAGCTGTGAGATTTCCTGCTTGTGCACCTCGAGGTTGGAGGCGTCGAAGTCGCAGAGGTAGAGGGCCTTGGCGCCGCTCTCGGCGTACTGGTGGGCGGTTGCTCTGCCTATTCCGAGGGCGGAGTTGGCGCCTGTTTTGTATGTATGAAAAGTGTGAGTGAGTGAGTTGAGAGGATGAGGATGAGAAAACGAGGGGCGATGAGTGATGTGTGATGATGGGGTTTGGATGCGATGGAGGGGGGGTTGAGGTGAGAGGGAATGGAGAGAGAGAGAGGGAGGGGGAGGTTTTTACCTGTGATAACGACGACTTTGTCTTGGACTCGGGGTTTGCTTGAGCCGGGGGCGACTTTGGCTATAGGGGGGAGGAGTTGGGAGGAGAGTGCTTGGATGCGGGTTTGGGCCTTGTTGGACATGGTGGGCGAGGTGGGTGCTGTTGTGAGTGACGGGGCGTGTCAAGGAGATGAAGCTATACAGCCCTCTGATGATACCGTGGCTTGTCACTGGGGCAGATGATCAATCGAAGGGTCGAGATGAAAAAGAACGCCAAGGCAGACGGACTTTTATGAGATGATGGAAAGAAAACCTGAAACTTACATGGCTGACGATGCTTATTACCCCAGGATTTGGATGGAGTTGTCGTCTCTCCGATGTCCATATCCGGGGCTGTTTGATGCGAAACTCCGCCAAGGTGCCGAGGCTCAGGCGCGCGCCGAGGGAGCTAGGCTTGTTTTGGCCTGGGGTGAAGACGGGAGTATGGAGATGGAGATGGAGAGATGGATCCTCCCCGCAAAGGCTGAAGCAAGGGCTTACCTATACAGAGACGAGGATGTGCCTTGCAACTGTGAGTTCAGGACATGAAACTCACTATCAGAGGGGGTCTAGAATACAAGGCGATGTCACTCAGGAAGATATCGAGGTACCAATGGCAACTTGGGTCAACAGAGCTGGAAGCTGGAGAGCATGTAGACTACTTCGTACCCTGTAAGTTGAGAGCATGGCTATAAGTTCGAGGCATGACCGAACGAGTTGGACCACCTGATCCATTCGGGTCTGTAATTCAAAGTCTCATATGATCAAATCCAGTGATAAATACCTCTTGAGACACGCAGACATTGATAATTGTATTGCTGCTGTGTCCCGCCCATTGCATCGTTTGGGTTGCAGCCAACTCAGGATAATGCAGCAACATGCTGGTACTGCATCTTCTCACCACACCTCGTCTCGATAACCACCGCCATTGCTTGGAACCATCAACTTTCATCTTCCTTCAGCTACTACTCAGCCTATTGATTTTAATCTACAGCGCATGCAATGATTGGCCTCGTTTCCTATCGCGGACCTGTATCACCCAACCCATAGGTACTGTACATACAACTATACCAAGGTACCTTTCACCGAGGACAACGATAACGAGAGCCCGATAACCGGCAGCGTCGTGCACGACTTGAACTTGCCCTCAACACCATCATTGGCTCTCTCTCACCTTCGTACACCAATGCGTATATCTCGCCAATTAATCTGCGTCCATCCACGCTTCCTGCGCTTCAGCTGACCGCACCGACCCAACATCCAAAACCCAGAGAATGCCTTCTACAAGGCTCTCGATTTCGCTACTCTGCGGCTGGTATAACATCCTCACCTCACGCTCAGAATGCTGTGCATTCTCTGTTATCGACTACTCGCACACTAGTTTCTTCGAAAGCAAGCGACCTCTCGTTGCTCGAATCCGTTCATCGCCTCTCTTTGCCCTAATCATGTTGCCTTTGCTTTCAGGACAAAAACCGTCACACCGCTGGAGGAAACGGTGGTTGTGCGCCCTGGGTGGCGGCTTTGTGCATTGAAGGGGGCTTGCAGGTCGGTCGCGTAAGCCAGGCTATTGTATACGGGCGCCCTGCATTGTTTGGATTGAGGCACTGCATGTAAAGAGCATGGGAGGTGTCCAGAGGGATTCGCGTCCTTCACAGGGCTGGGATTTGTCCTGTCCTGGACAGCCGGAGAGGAAACCTGAGGAGACCAGAGACAGAGCGAGGTGCACGGGAAAGATAACGAGTGAAGCCGCGAGACGGACCGTGAGGGCGACAGAGGCACAATCACAGAGGAAGTCAAAGACACGAGTGCACAGAGAAGCACAGAGCAAAGGGACCAGGCCCGTCTTCCGAAGCAAAAAGACGTCATTGCATCCTCCCGGTTCCTCTTCTCCTCCGCTATGGTTACCTCGCAGAACGCCGGGGCGTTGATCAGCTGCGCTCTCCAAACGCCCGACTCGCAAACCTCGTTCGCGCGCAGCATGAATACGAAGCCAAATGTTGACTCTGCTCTGACTGGCGACTTTCCGGCCACCGGTTTGCAGCTTCATGCAAGTCGTGAGCTCTCCACGACGCATTTCAGCCGCTCGGGCTGCAGGACCCCTGCACGGCAACCTTTTTTTCTGCGTCTCCTTTCCCCTGATATGATCTCGATGGCGCCGAGCAGCGCGGAGTGTGCCACTGCTACTGCAAGGGACAAGAATGGGCTTTCCTTGGCTTCTGCTGTCCGAGCCTGGGGTTCCACGGTGCCTCGCTGGTGAGCGTATCGAACCTCGCTTTTGCTCTGGCGATAGATGGGTAACACGTGGGTTTCTACTCCTCTGCCATCACCCCTGGTACGACTGCCTTGGCCGTATCTGTGTCCGCCGTTGCCTACTCCAAAATGGGGGACGCCTTTTCCACCACGCTGCGAAATGCGGTCTCATAAGGGGCTGCACCCTCTGCAAGCTTCTCGGCAGCTGCGAGAAAGGGAAAGGCCGCGTGGGCGTGTTTTGCTTGTTTGTCAGGTCTCGTCTATCCCCGAGATTGCTGGCCTAGTGCCGGCTTATCGCAAACAATGATGCCACATGGACTTGGGACAGGACAGATGGGCTGCTGGCATTGTGTGACCCCTGGACGGCCAGCTGCGGCCTTCTCTCTCGCTTCCATTTCTCCAAGTTCCAGTGGAAACCAGCACCACAGTCTGCTATTCCATTGTCACTCGAGAGCACTCCCAAGGTCAGTGTTTGTTGACTCGCATATCGTCTCATCATCGTATGCTATCTGCACCGACTTTCCCGGAGGAGATAAACTTGCTCCTCGAAAATCTCGCAAGCAACGTACTCGGCTCAGCGCCGTTTATGCTATTTTAACGAGTAAGTAGAGGTCATTGACTGCTTTAAGAAATCCCCCTCCGCTTGGCATTACCGGCCGTCAGGCAACACCAGCTCCAGCTGCAGCATACACTCCGATTCAACTGAAGGCGTGTCGTACAGGCTTGCTACCAGGCTATTGGGCAGAATACTATATGCTGCCTTCAGCCCTCCGAAGCACGCTCGAGCGGCCAGCTTCGAAGGAATCGGAGACGCCCACTTCCGCGTGGAGTCGAATGGCTGGTGTGTTTGCCGTTGGAGATTGCCACCCCGAATCGACGTTGAACGAGCAATCAGGAGAACAGGGGTGCGACGGTCACGGCGGCGTTTGTCCCCGGAGATCTACGACTCGTATATGCTGATTTGATCTTTCCACGAGGATGCCATGAGCCGACAGGGGGGGAGCCCAGGGGAAGCCACCGGGAAGCAATCATCCGCTACGGCACTTGGAAGGGTTCCACGAGACACACAAATTGGATGGAGGCGAGCTGCCGCTGGATAGTCTACAGCTCGACCAGGTTGTTGTGCCCCGGACATGACGCCTTCATCAGAGGCTCTCGCATGGTTTCCATCCCATTAGCGCCCTCTTCGTATCCGGACGCCCCCGACGTTGATGGAGGCTATTGGGCGTTTGATAGGGACGCATACCACAGTATTTTCAAGTCTCTCCAGCGATGTAGCTACAGCCCGATGGCCATACGAGGCTGTTCTCGTCGGGAGCGGTATGCTGCAGAACCGTGTGAGACCCACCTGCATATGGCCATGGCACCGTCCGTTGCTCGTTCTCCTTCGAGGCTCAGATGCTCGATGTTCCCTGCCAAAAGGGACATGAGCATCCTCACACCTGTGTTTCCTCCCCGTACCGAGAGGTCGTAATCCACGAGATATATAGTATACACTCAAACCCCCGACAGGTGAACCTTGATACCTTTGCCCTCCCTGCTATCCAGTATCTTTGACTTTAGCGAAAGTCTGAACTGGCGTCCTTGTCGTTGCTCATGTAGCATATACCCTCGCTTCTTACATGACTACAGACAGTTATTCTCACCAAAAGTGGCTTAGAAATCTTTGCCTTATCCTTGACGAGTTCACGACTTGTTCTGCTGGACTCGTTCTCTCATCTGAAAGCTAGACTTGCAGATAGACACTGGAGTACCGTGAAACGAATCGCCATGGAAGAAGCTCACTGCATTGACGACTCTATTCTTTACTCTAGAGGTAATTCGCAGCATGTTCAAGCTTGTGCTTCAGACTGCCAGGCACGGTTCTTGACATTACTGGCGCCCAAGGGAGATGAGGACGGGGCATTAGGTCAGGCGTTTTCGAACCGGCTTAAGAACAAGGGACAAGGCTTCCCTATGCTTTACTGTTGTGGCTCACGGCTGTGTGAGATGAACGCCATAGGAGACGTTGATCTGGACTGTGCGTCGGCTCCTGCGACATCAGCAGTATGTATAGCTAAGTGTTCTTCTAGTGAGCCTCAGCCGGGTCCTCAGTTCTTGTCAAAGGTATTGTCCACTCCCTGGCCACGCATGCTCAAGACACACTTCTTAACATTCATATCGGCAGGGATGGCTACCATTTTGGAACCAATTTAGCATCCCCAAGTCAGGCACATGATTTCTCAAACAGCATACACGGAAGAGAAAATGCTCGCCAGGAGAACACTGCACCCACTGGCGCTCTCCCAACCGCCACTCCATCAGGTTTCCTAGTAGAGGGCTTCCACACCATCACGATCACGATCAGCTCGCCTCCTGCGTCCGAGATAGCACATGGCTCGACTGCCTCAGGATCTCGCACGCTTCGCCTGGTCACAACGACGGAGACGTCGAAGCCTCTTCACGAGCGAGCCCGGGACGCGAGCAAAGTGCCCTCTGGAACAAAGGTCACCATTGGCGTATCCGTCATGGTCGGCATCTTGGCCGTCGTCGCCCTCATCGCATGGCACCTGCGTCTAAGGATGCGCCTCCGAAACAAGAAGCGCATCAGCCGTCCCGTCAAGCCCAGCAGCCTCCCTCCCACGCCGCTCATCTCGCCATCAAGCTCCTATGCCGGACCGCTGCCGCCCAGCGGCCCCCTGACGCCTCCTGCACGGCTGCAGGAGCGCCGCTTCTTGCTGACCAGGGCCCTGAGCCTCCGCCGCAACAACCACCGCCGTCGGCGTGACGATGAGGAGGAGGAAGATCCGGAAGAAGAATGGACTGCCGTGCCGCTGGCTCCCATGCCGCCGCTCTCTTCTCCGCCGTCCAAGTCCACCAGACCCGCCAACAAGAGCAGCAGGCCCCTGGAAGATCGGGACGAGCAGCCCAGCGGCACCATCACGGCAACAACGACGATTTCAATGACGACGACGACGGGTCCCCCGCCACGGCCACCCCGCAACGACATCCCGCCGGCTGCTGGCAGCCTCTCGAGCGTATTCAGCAGGGCCAGCACCCTGAGGGCAGCGTCGAACGCATCCTCAGACTCGACGACGGCGCAGATGCCGTACAGCGAGCTTCTTCACAGGCAGCCGGCCCGAATGTACGAGAAGAAGACGCCTCCGGCGACGATTCGAGGTCTGGCCAGTCCCGGTCCTCCTCCGACGAGGGCGCTGCCGAGTCTCCCCGCCGATGGCCGGAGGAGTCCCCTGAGGTCGCCCGGGCTGGCATCGCCCACGAGCCCTACGACGCGGCGAGCTTCGCCTAGCTCGGGGGCTGTTGCGCCGCGGTCGTCTCTGGGGGTGAATGAAGGAAACGGAGGCCCTCGAAAACCGAGAGAGGAGAATGTTGGTGCTGGAAGGGCGTCTGGGGAGACGGGCTTGCAGTCTCCGAGGAGGGTCAAGCATGCGAGGAATCCATTGCTGAATGAGGTTTGCTTAAATAGCGTTACAAAGGTGGAGTGAAGAGGGACATTGAGATGGGCTTGTAGTATACTTCTGTTCTTGTGCGCGCTACATGAGATGGAGAGGAGGACCAAGGAAGTCATGTTTCATCATATAACGGCTCCAACATACATAGATCTAACGCTTCTATTTTCCCACTGCCATTCTAATCGAGTCTACTTGCTTCATCAAGCTACAACCCCCTTCATGGCACCCTCAAAACTCATCTAAATCCCGTAAGCCTTCAACGACTTGACCGTGTCCACAACACTCTTCTCAATTGGAATCCATTCAATCCCCAGCAACTTATACGTCTTTTGGTTATCATACTTGAAAGTCTTGTTCTCATCCGCAGGCTCCCCGCCAGGAACCTCAGGCCCAGGCAACCGATCCGCATACTCTGGGAAGTTGTCTCTCACGATCCTCGCCACCTCGCGGTTTGACGTCCTGCCGCCGACGGTAAACAGACGGTGTCCCCCAGCCTCGGGGATCTCAAAGGCCTTGATGTGCGCCGCGGCCGCGTCGCGGACGTCGATCCACAGACCGACGGGGCCCGTGTCGGCGATGCGAGTCTTCCATTCGCCTCTGAGAAGAGCGACGATGCGCTCGTTGGAGGTGTTGATTGAATCAAGGGATGCGAGGCTATGCGCCACGGGGCCGAACACGATTGGCGGGTTTACGGTGACGAGGTCGAAGTTGGGCTTCTTCTGGGCAACAAAGTCCCACGCGAGGCGCTCGGCCGCCGTCTTGGACACGCGGTACGCGGTAGGGGGAGACCGTCCGACGTCGGCGATGCCATCCGGGTTCCACGACTCTTCCGTAAACGTGGTGTTCGGATCAAAGAGTCTCTCCTCGGAGAGAATCGCCGCAAAGGAAGACGTTACGACGACGCGCTTCACAGAGGGGGCATCGCGATGGATGGCCTCGAGGATGCCGCGGGTGCCGTTGAGCGCCGGCTCGATGAGTTCCTTTTCTGCGTCCGTCCAGCGGTAGTGGAAGGGGCTGGCCGTATGCAGGACCACCTCCAGGCCGGAAGCGTGCTCCGCGACGACGGTGTCGAAGGCGTTGGGGAGGGCAATGTCGGGGACGATGGCGACGACGAGGTTGCCGGACTGGACGGCGGAGGAGTGTGCGGAGCGGATCTTTTGGGCTTTTTCTTCGGTGCGGACGGTGGTTATGACAGTGTGGTTTTTGGAGAGGAGCTGTTCTAGAATGTGGGCTGGGGGTGGTTATGTCAGTTTGGTGTGTTTGTGCATAGGTAACAGGGGGTTTGGGTGTTGGAGATGGGTGGTTGTCATCGTCTCCATGGTGTTTGTATGTCCTGGACAGTGAGGAGCAGCGTGATGGTCATGTATGAGACATACCGGCAATGAAGCCCGAGCCACCTATTCAACACGTTAGCAATCCCGATTATGTATCGAGAGAGGGACCATCAACTCACCTGTGAGGAGAACCTTGGTCATCTTGAATATGTCTCCTTGAGTGTATTGATCCACCGAGATTCGCACAACACGAGCTGTTTCAACAACAAACGGACAGGTACAATTGTTCTGTAAATCGCACTCGTTCGAGAGGGAGTTGAAGAAGACAAAAGTTCAAAAGAAGGTGAAGAGAAGAGACAGCCGAATCAAATAGCCGATTGATAAAAGGAAGATAGAACGATAGCTCCTTCTCTTCCATTCTCCCACTCACACAAACCCCCATCCTGACGTCAAATCACGTCTTCACCTTCCCCCCGCCTTGCCTCCATCGTTCTTTCCCCGCCATGGGTCAAAGCGGGTCTGAAAAGTCCATGTGGTTGTGATGAACCCCCCCAAATCTAGGCCCCATGTGTAGCACGAGCAGTGCATGGTGGGTATGGGTTAACAGGGAGGGAACGAGCATGCACGATAATCGCCGCGATGGAATATATCCGGCTTCGGGGATAACACGATAACAGCTCAAAAGCTAGCCGAAACACATCGTTAGCTGGGGATAGTCTTGGATGGGGGATGGAATCAACTAGATCAACTAGTTTGGGAGACAAGGGGAGGTTGAATATCCACCAATAAGTACCTTTGCAATGTAGAAGTTGATATGAGTCTCAATCACGGCGTCATCTCCAGAACATGACAAGACAGGAGGGAAACCTGGAGAGGAAACAGAAAACGGTGGTATTCCGAGGTATATCAAATCCAGCAGTGTTCAATGTACAAGATAGAGAGTTTTTAATACAGTACAGTAGCATTTCTTCAAGACCCAATTTCTGTCCCAAATGCATCCATTCCGAGTCACACCACGCTGTTCACAAAGGAGACCGTCCTGATGCGCTTTGCCGCTTTGACAAAGCTTCCTCCACACGAGCAACACAATGCCATCCAGACCGCTGGTGTCGCTTTCCTTCGGCCTGCCCTTTTGAAATGATTTCGAGTATCAAAAACATCGCTTCGGCTTGCTCGCTAGCCACCTCGGACGGTGACTCCGCGCATATAAACGAAGGAAATATGTTTTCCACCCACACATTTTCGGCATTCGTCACTTCGCTGCATATCCATGTTGCTTATCGCCGTCATCGTCCTCTCCATCTCTTCATGTAGCAGATGACCTAGCAGAAGCCGGAGGGGCTGGTGATTCCGGGGGGTGAGGCTGCGGTATTCCCAGCCCTGGAGGCGGAGGAATGTCGTCTGGTATCGGTAGCGTCAGCGGTCCCTTGGGCACTATTGCCCGACCTGGCAACTTTTCGCCCCGGATAACCTTTTCGACCTCCTCCTTGTCCAGCGTCTCGTACTGCACCAGTGCCTGTGCTAAAAGGTCCAGCTCTTTCCGCTTCTCCGTCAACACCTTTCTCACGTCTTCGTACGACTTTCTCAGCGTCTTCTGGACCTCTCCCTCAATTATGGACTTGGTCTCGGAACTGAGGTTCTCATATCTTCGACCGTACTCAACCGGACCCAGCACGCTGGACATGCCAAAATGGGTGACCATCATGAAGCTCAAATCGGTAGCCCTCTCCAAATCCTATATCCAGTGGTCAGCACTCATTTCACAACTCACGCAAAAGGGAGTCACCTACATTGGAAACACCAGACGTCACTTTGTCGTCACCATACCGCATCTCTTCAGCCATCTTGCCGCCCAGAAGCACGCGAATGTTGGACATGTACTCGGCCGCAGTGTACGAGTACTTGTCCATGGCGGGGACATGAGCAGTGTGACCCAGCGAGGGGCCCTTGGGAAGAATCGTAACCTTGTACAGCCTGTTGGAGCTTTCCTTTTCGAACAGCTGGACGAGAGCGTGGCCAGCTTCGTGGTATGCCGTCATTTCCTTTTCCTTCTCCGTCACGACCATCGACTTTCTCTCGGCGCCCATGGTGATGCGGTCGAATGCCCAGTCGATATCCTGCTTAGAAACCTCACGAGCCTTTGCTCTGCTAGCGCGCAGTGCTGCGACATTCAGCATGTTCTCGAGGTCGGCACCAGACTGTCCGGGCGAGCGAGCGGCAATTGCCTCGAGGTCGACGTCAGGGGAAAGCCTTATCTTCTTGGCGTGATGTTTCAGAATGGCAATGCGGCCACGAACGTCCGGCAAGTCCACGTTGATGTGTCGATCGAAACGTCCAGGTCGGGTAAGGGCCTTGTCCAGCAACTTGGGCAAGTTGGTGGCCGCCATGATGATGATCTTGGTATCCGTGTCGAATCCATCGAGTTCCGTGAGAAGCTGATTCAGGGTCTGTTTTGAGTGCGCTTGATCCCTAGGGTTACGCTTTCCACCGATGGCATCCAGTTCGTCGATGAAGATGATGGCAGGGGACTTGGCCTTTGCCGCCGCGAAGAGCTCACGGACGCGCTTGGCTCCCACACCAACAAAGATCTCGTCGAATTCACTGCCAGACATGTAGAAGAAGGGAACGCCCGCCTCTCCGGCCACGGCGCGAGCGAGCAGCGTCTTTCCAGTACCAGGGGGGCCAACGAGGAGAACACCCTTTGGCAGCTTCGCTCCAAGATCGGAGAAGCTGTCGGGGTTGCGCAAGAATTCGACCACTTCCTGTAGCTCTTCCTTGGCCTCGTCGCATCCGTGAACATCGTCGAATCGGGTTGTCTGTTTCTCAGCCTTGACTTCAGAGTCCGTCTTGGCCCCCGGTCCACGCCTGAACGTGCTCAGCGTCTCAATCAGAATAGTCACGGCGGCGAAACACAGATAGGTGAAGACGATGAAGGTCGCAAAGAACTTAACCCAACGGAAGACGAGAGATCGCGTCGACTCTTGGACCACAACGTGGATTGGCTCGCCCTTGACGCCCATCGATCCGCTAAGGGCCGCATTGGCGATAGCCTGTTCGTTGCCGGCCCATTGTCCACGAGCGAATCCAGGTGTAGCCGTGGCCGTGGCCACGGTGCTCGTACCACTATTCAGAGCAGCCAGAGCCTTCTTGTAAGCCTCTTCGGTCGCCGCGTTTGTTGCGAAGCGGCCAGTTTGATACCGTTCTACCAGGATGCCAGGCATATTGGCCCTCAGCAGAAGCTGGTAAAAAGCGTTTTGAAGGTTTGCGTTTCCGGGGTTCCTGTTTGCCGATTCCTCCACAGCAGCCAGCTGGCTGCGAGAGATTCCATTCGATGTTCCAAAGCCTCTGCGCTGCAGACCGAGTGTTCCGGAGAGAATCCGTGTCGTGGACATGGCGCGTAGCGGGGTCGAGACGGCGGGGGTAGATCGCATAAAGAGCTTGACCAGGGGAGACGAGACGGTGTTGACGGGTTGGAAGAAAGGTCTTCGTAGAACCGGGTTCGCTGCAAGCAAGCCGACCCGGCCCAATCCAGAGATGGAAGCGCGGACATCGGTTGTCGCCATCGCGTTAGGGGTTACGGCCTTTGGTGCGTACGTTGATGCTTGCTGGAGGAAATCGGGCAACTGGACTCGCGCCGTCTGCAACATCATCCGAGTTAGCACCGCAAGCCTTTGCGAGTCATCCCGAGATGAGCTTCTCACCTTCTCCTTCGCCTCGGCCGCGGGACCGGACCGCGCAGCCTCGGCTCCAACAGTCGCATCGGTCTGCTGGCGGGGTACAGACGAGGGCCGCCAGGGTCGCATGAGGGTGTTGGTGATGGAAGGGAGGGTATCCGCTGCGGCTGCTGCCATTGACTATTTGCCATTCATTCTCCGTCAGTATCTCGTCCTCGATGTCGAAGTTCGAAGACAGCTCGGCCACCACCAAGAGACCCGGCAAAGGTACTTACAGGCAGCAGACCACCGTGGAACGCCATCGCCACGATTGACGTCGCCTTATAGCAAGGCTTAAGTCGGATGTCGAATATCAAAATCCGGCGACGACAAGAGTCAAGGAGCCAGAGTCAACAACGGAGGATGCCTCAATGGCTGTTCGATCGTAAAGGGTATGACGTGCTGCAGCAGCCTACCCAGGCAAGACCTGGCACTATCGAAGGAGCCGGCCAGGCCCAGCAGATGCCGACAATAAGACAGTCCCTCCTTCTACCGATTCGTCAAGAAGGAATAGATGAGCGCGGGCTGAGGGAGTTTTGCTGGACACAAGAGAACTTCTACCTCGACGCCCTCATGATGCCGGTTGAAGTCGCGAATAACAGTGAAAGAGACGGAAAGAGAACTTGCCACTCAATCACGGCCCTCGTTCTATCGGCGACGATCGGCCTACCAGGCTTTTCCGAGCCTTCGCCGTGCGTTAGTCAGCATTCCGGGCGGGACTCTGACGCTGCATCACGTGAGTGAAACGTGGCGCAAGCTGGGGTCCCGCAGCCACATTTCGAGTGGCTGACTACGGCTTGCACTTCGGGTTGTTCAGACTTCCAGTCATGCTCATGTTGAATATTTTTTGCTTCATTCATCAGCCTGTTAAAAGGCGTATCTACAAATGAAATACAGCTATACACGGAAGATGAATATACATAATCGATACAAGCAATTAAGCCACCTCCTCATAAGACTGTGCCGTTCCGCAGAACTCGTGAAAACCGTGCCGTTCTCTACTAGACTGCCTCCCCGCTAGTAACAAAGTAAATGTTATCCAACCCCTATGAGTTCCCATTTATTTTAGTTCGCCTTTTCTTGTATTCCGGTTTATTAGTCAGAGCAGCTGAGATAGAAGTAATAACAAAGGAAAATTTTGCTGTTTATATGTTGTACACGCCGTAGGACTCGTATCCATACCACGGCTCAGACTTCCCCAATGTAACGGGAGGGGAGCCGTAGCGCGCCACTGTTTGGCTTGGTATTTGTCCGGGGTTGATCAGCATCTGCTGCCGTGCTTGAGCCAGCTGTTGAGAGTAGCTCATCATGGGCGTAGTCTGTCCCATAGGCGATGCGTTCTTGAGAGAGTATGTGGCAGTATTCAAGCCCATATACTTGTAGTAGCTCTTTTGTGACATGGAGCCGTGGCTGGAAGTCGGTGGGAGGCTGGTGGGACTGCTATCCGGGCTATTGCCCAGGCCCAGAGTAGGATATGACGCATCGATTGGGGAATGCCCCATTGAGCCAGGATACTGGCTGTCCAGGTCCACCGTCTCCAGATGGGCGCTGCCCTGTCCCATGGCATAGAGCGGCAAGCTGTTGAAACGATGCATCGAGGTCATGTCATGCATGTCATCAGAACCAGCTTGTGGAGAGTGGAACGGCTCATCGATGTAGCAGAGTTGCACCTGGCCGTCGAGATCGGAAGCAGATGAACCGTGTTGGAACAGGCTACCCTGCAGTCCCATGCCATGAAGGGGCTGGGGTGTAGTCGGCTGGGCTGGCATAGATGACGACCGGCTGGATTCGGAATCGGAGAGACAATCGATCTGTACGCCAAATATATCCCGCTGTTGAGACTGATGCTTCTGCTTGACGGCAAGCTTGTTGCGGCAAAAGCTGATCAGGGTCAGCTACACCTCTTTGTACCCAAACAAGACTCAAATACATACCTCTTGGGGCAATCGATGTGTGCGCACCTGCGACTACGGCTCCCTGTGTGAACATGACGGTGCCTGGCAAGACTCGACGACTAATTGTTCCGTGAGTTTTCTGTTTCATAGAAGAAAGGCGACGGGATGCTTTGTTGTTGACTTACATCCGAGAATCGCTTGATGCAGCCGGGGAATTTACACTTGTGCGGCTTCTCTCCAGTGTGTGTCCGAGTGTGAACAGCGAGGGCACTGCGCTGGATGAATCTCTTTTCGCAGCCAGGGGCTGTACACGGGTGTGGTCGCTCATTTGTGTGAATCTTATAGTGTCTTGTGAGGTCTGATCTCCGTTTGAAGTCCTGCCAATGTGTCAATTGGTTTGCATTGCAATAACTGCAATCAGGTAACTGATGGTCCCATACCTTCTTGCACGCCTCCCAGTCGCAGGCAAACGGCCTGAAATCAGGTCCGTCTGTAAATCCCTTGAACGTCATTTGCGACATTGTGATCAATTCGGGAAGACCCTGGTATTATAATTAAAGTATTAAAGTGATGTGGTCGACAGTTTGTCGTATGGTAGGGTCTTATGAGACACTATCGTAGTGTCGAGTGTTTGAGGAAGTAGATGATTAGATGGATGTGATGTGCCTCAGATCAATCAATATGGATGGCTGAGGTTGATTCGAGATGAAACTCGGGTCGGGTGAGGGTGCTAAGGGAGGCGTATATATATGTGTATGTGCGGATGTGAGCGGACGTATACGACATATGTAGATATATTGTTGTGGGGTGCTCTTATTCTCGCAGGAGTCGAAGGCACGGCTTGAGCAGATGTAGTGCGAAGGATGCAAGATATCGGTAGATTCCACACCGGTCCAATTGCGGATCCTTAGAATGTAACGGCGAGATTGGAGTGGAAAATTTGGGGTCCAGATCCTAGCCGGTTGGTTCCACGGGACGAGAGAAGGACTCCGGAACGACGCTGTGCAGTAGTGATGAGCGTAAAAGTAGATCCGGAGACGTTGCGTAACATGTGCTGAGTATGAGATGAACCATAAGGGGGGGCAGCGGCTTTAATAAAAAACAGCTATGGTGGTGTGTTCAGACGGGGAAAGAATCCGGTAGCACAAGCGACAGCAGGTCTCTGAGATACAAAACACAGCGCCGCTGAATCGATTGACGAGATGAAGTAGATCGAGCCAAGGTAGGACAAAATGCAAGGAGTGTCGGTAGGATTGGTCCCAGCTTTTCAAGACAGAGAGAACGGATGGAATAATTGCTGCCTATCCGTTGTGATCTTCCCGTGTTGCTCAATTGGCAGGTAAACTTGTCGGTGCTCGGCAAGGACTGTAATCCTGTGTGGAGGGTGAGAAAGTGATGCCACATGTATATATATCTTTTCACAGCGACACAGGGCATGTGAGTGGAAACAAATCGAGCTGGCTATACAGCGACCACCGCAGGGGTCCGGCAAGCACGCGAAGACGCTGCGGGAACAGCAGTAGCCGCCACTGCTCAGTGCCGGGCTAGGCAGAGATAGTACTCTCCTCGGCTGTAGTCGTGTGTACATTGGCAGGTCTAGATGGAGCATTCAGTGTTGAACAGGGGTCGAGTACATACGACACGAGCAGACCTACCCCATGTCCTGTCTGGGAGGCGTCTCAATTATCCGTATTCGATGAGCTTGACCAGACCGTTTTGGATGTGACGGCGAGAACGAACTCGAAAACAATGGCCAGATACTCTCGCTCAATCGAGCTTAGAGCCACGCCTGTATGTCAGGGCGAGCAACGGATGGAGGCGAGCCTGAGCGTCTTGCAGCCGTTTCATCATGAGGCACGGGGAATACGCAGGGCCAGAGGGAGGGCAGCCAAGCTCAGAATGCAGCTCACCTGACTATTTCCAAGGTGCCCCATAACGCCTCGAAGACGAACAGAGAAAGTGTGCCACGGGTACCTAGGTAGAGTGGGCTTTTGCCTGAGCACTACACGCAGTACAGGCCAGGGCGGGGGGGAGTCGATGGAGGTGATGTGCGGCTACCTTGGTTCTGTCAAACTAGCCGGCATTCAAGGGCCAAGATGAGGAACGATTCACCTGCCGAGCCATGTAAACCTCTCTCTCTCGTTCTTCGACCTGTATTTTCCCCTCAATATTCCCTGCGCGGTAAGATTAGTTACTTGACATGTGTTGCATTGCATCTGCCAGGTAGGCTTGCAAGTGGGCTACCTTTCCAAGGGCCAAGGGGGCTCAGCCGTGAGGATCGCCAAAGCTTGGGCCATGAGAAGAGACGAAGAAATCACATGGAGGCAAGCGAAGAGAAGACGACAAGATGTAGCAGCGAGTGTGGAGACGGCTGTGAGGCAAGAAATGCATCGATGGCAGGCTGTGCTGACACCGTATGACATGCAGGTACTTGCTACTACTGGAAAGGCATGCTCTCCTTTGTAACAGACGGAGGTGCCGTCCTGTATAGGTGTCGTACAAGGACGAAAAGGTGAGCGAGGGAAATTGTTTCGCCTGCGATTTTGTCACATTCCCACGCTCGTCCAGATGGCCGTTTGTACCGGCAATTGGTGGTCCATTGGGGCAGCTGGCGGCCACGCTGCTTTGCGTCAGGTACATGGCCGAGAGCCCTAGAAGGCTTCACAAAGGAAAAGGCATCCACTCTTCAGCCCTTCAACCACGGTCGACGGTCGTCTGTGCTGGAAGCCGTGATCGCTTGTTGGTCCTGGGCCTCTGCGAGAAGCGGTCCTGGGAGACGATGGAGGCGCATGGTGTGCTGATCGGAGCCTCTCATTGGCGTAGTCGGGGAGGAAGAAAAGAGGAGAGGAAACGGCTAGAACAGGGGGATGAAGCTTGTCGTGGGGGTGGGGTGAAACACGCCGTAGCTGCATGGCCCGCATAGATGCATAGATTTGTGTACCTATCTATGCACGTAGACGCTGCGCATGCAGTTAAGCGCCTGTAGAGGAGTTACGCTTGATCTGCCGCTAAGCTTTAGGCCAGGGCCAGGTGCAATGTCTCCCCACTCGGGAGCGGCCGAGGTTCAACAGGGGGACGGCTATAAGTCCAGATGATGCGATGCAGCGCACAGTCGACATCCAGTCCCAGGAGATGCCGCCTGCAGCCAGCTGGGAAATGACAATACTTGGAAGTGGTATTTACGACTGATCTGAGCGGTTATTTGTGTACTTATTAGCACAGAGAAGCCCAAGGCGTGCCAGGTGGACGGCAGATTAGGTGGTCCTAATTAGTGATCTGAGGGTGCTCGGACTTGAGACGACCAATATCAGATGTTGAAGATACTGCAGATATGGGCAAGTCTCGCTATTACATGGGAATTCAGTAAAAGGGCATGAGCATACAAAGCAGCATAAGACTGCCTGGTTCAAGGTCGCAGTGGAAGCAATGGTAGCAATCGTGCTGCTGCTCGGTGCCGAGTAGGTCGTAGTATTGGCAGAAAAGTAACCTGAAAAGTAAGAACTACGATCCATCCGTAGCAACTAGCTCATTACGCATACATACATCAGTTATCTTGCCGAGCTTCCTTGCAGATAGATTAAGATTAGCATTGGCGTGGTGACCTTGATGGCGATATTCCATCATACGGCCACAGCTGCAAAGTTTCAGAATTCTCGTGCTGGAATGGAAACCATCTGTAGATGTTTTGCGTTCGATTCATAATTGCAGTGGCACTGCTTCAATAGCTTGTCCATCCGTGTATCATCTTCTATTATTAGATAGTACGATGAACTGGGCAAGCAAGCCCATAAGCCCTTGCCCTGTTCTTGAACCCTTGTTTCTGGTGTAGATGCCATCGTGACACTCAGTCTCGCTTGCTTTACCATCCGGGTACTTGATGAACCCCATCCTGTCTTCATCTTGCGCCTGGAGTGTTCCGTCCGCCATGATTCCTACCGCCTCACACTGACATCCTGGCATTTCCCGCCAGAGTTTCGATGTCGCAGATGAAACAGAGCTCAGGAAGGCCTGCGACTGCGGATATGCCGCATCGATACTCCCCATTGCCCCATTCGTACTACCACCTCATGTAGGTACACGTGGGAATCGCTGTTATAGTTGTATCCAAGGAACCCGGGAAGTAGAACTGGTCAAGATGCTGCTCCACCTCGGCTGTCGTGCAGAATGGGGGATCTCCAGCCAACATGATCCATGGACCTTGCGCCCTCTAGAAGCCATGGGGATCCCTGCTACGATTCCTAGCCCAGGTAGTCTAGGAGTTGACATTCTTCGGCCATTGTGATAGGCTATACAAGGCACTCGTCTCTATCTCGACTGTCCGTGGCAACGGAATGGGGGAAGAGTTGAGGGTACACGATATGGCGTGAGCGGACTGGGTTGCACTCTTGGCAAATGCGACCCTGAGCCATTATCCGAATGCGGCACACCACTTGTTTGTCATTGAGGCGCTTTAATACTGACACCTACAAGCTGGGCGACAGAGATTCCGAATGGTTGGAGGCGGTAGTAATGGGTTATCTGCAACGCATCGGGCAATCGAACACGATTCGAAGAGTCTTCGGACACGGAGTCTTTGTCCAGAGTCCAGACTGTCTCAGGCGACTGACGGCTCGGAGTTGTTGGAAGATGTTCCCGTTAGATAGAAGTACTAGAGGTACCAGTAGGCATCGACAAGGAAGATGATGCTTGTAACAGGCTGCACTGTCCACGTGCAAGAGGTACGGCCTTAGCAGGGCAGTCATACCTTACCATGTGTGGACCCTTAAGGCAGTACCTACCTAGGCCGTAACATCCAATTCCAATGGATTTGGCCTCACCGACCTGAAGCAGGTTGCCCTTATCGCACATGACCGATGATCCCTGGCTTCCTGTTATCATCACCTGAGTTTCGCCTCAAGCAGCTGCCTGGTCTAGCTAGCACCTGCATTCCCTCGACAACGGCTCGGGACGACGCCATCACCAACAGCAGCACGCTGTGCCGCCGTTGAACAGCAAACCTTGCAGCGACTGGAGAGCATGGGCATTAAGCGCAATGACAGCCATCACTCGCGTGTTTGGCCAGGGCAGATGCTGGACGGACAAGGACAGGGCGGCAATCGCGTGGTATTCCTCCGTACTGGCAAGGACAAGATGACCCTCGACTCGACCAGGCCTCTAATACTGGGCATTGCTGCGAAGAATCCATGATGCCTGTCGACGCCTACGAGCTCGGGGCAAGCCGTACGCTCATATTTCGTCAAGATGCGCGAAGAGGCAGGCCAAGTTGGCTCAGTCTCGACCGCGGCCTCTGCTGCTGTTGCTGCTGCTGCTGCTGCAATGTCAGCAGCCTGAGCAAGGCCCCAAACAGAATTGGAGCATCCCACTTGCGACCTTGGGATCTTGGCGACTGGCCGCTTGGTGGCTGGATTCTCGAAGCTGCTCAGTCGGCATGTTGCTTAAGCAGCAGCTCTACGTCTCACCCCCAAGCTACACCTTGCGCGCAATCACCGTTACATCGATACAACCCTCATGAGGCAAATATGCCCATCGCTTCAGGTTTGAGAGGCTGGGACACCTCTCAAGGTGCATGAAAAGGGTGGGGGCAGGTCCGAAATCCATGTCAATAATTGCCGTGATATTGCATTAGCATCTAACATTTCGCAAGGGTTCGGTCTTCAGCCAACGTCCCATTCGCCAAGAACCGGCCAGGGAACAATTCCCGGGGTAGAAGCCTATTCTTGGCCTTACAGGGCCAGTAGGGATAGTATACGCCTCGTCCACTTCAAAGCTGCAAAAGCAAAGCGGGGATTATCTATTCCCAAGCGAGCGAACCTCAGCAATATGCCTCTTGGTTCACAGATAGGGCTAAACGGAGACACATCGGGACATGCTGGGCTGACCGGCCTCCTGTTCACATACACCTGCTTGCAGGAACGACTTCCCTCGCCAGCTCTCGCACGACACTCCGGGGATCCGGCACAATTCAGCTCCCGAGATGAGTCTGTTCACCTGCGAATTCATCAAGGTCCTCTTGGACGATGGCAATTGCGGGCGCTGTACCCAAGGCTGCATAAGACTCCAGTTGCGACGTCATCCGTGCTTGAGGGAGCAACGAAGAAGAAAAGATACTGCTGTTTCAGACGGTTCCTACATGCTACCTGTTTGTAACAAAGGTAGGCCGTGATTCGCTAAATTGCTGCCAAGGCGACATTTGGAATAGCGGAACGTTCCAATACCGGCCAACTCTACGTTGTTGTATCTGGGAAATAATTCAGCACTGGCCCAAGAACCTCTTGACCCGTGTTGTGCCAACGCTCCGCAGTCTTGCTGACGAGCAGTAATAGACGTGAGCATAAACCACCGGTCCGAAGCCTGTTGTTGCCCACGTGGGAGGATCTCAGCGCCCACGAGATCGATCCCCAGAATCACTAGCGAGCGTTTCAGAAACGCTAAGACGACGACTTAAACCCGTCACAGATGCCGTGACAAATGGTGGTCAGCATCAACTACCACGACTGCGACCGCGGCCCACGCCATCGCGCCTGATGCCACCCTACAAGAACTTGCCGCGCAAATACCAGGACAGAGAGCAGCAGCAGGCCTAGACGGCGGCCCGCATGCGCAGGATGACAACTAGCCTACTTGGACAAGGTGCTGCTATTGCCGTTCGACATGCCCTTTTGAGACGCACAGGCATACTCAGAACGGTTACTGAAGGAACAACGGCGTTGTTTGCGAGGAGAAGCTCTCCCTCGTCCCCTCTGCTGCTGTCTGTGCCGTCGCTAGGGGTTCACTTTCAAGCCTGGCCGTTACGGACGCTCAATACAGTCCCGCGTGGGCCAGATTCGCCTCACTCACTTTTGGAGTACCAATTGCAACTCCGTTTACGGGCACGGCGATGAGGTGTTAGAGACCAACTGAAACTAGCAGAAAGTGCTGCTATCCTTTGTTGTTGAATCGAATGCCTCCGAAACGACCACGCCGAGAGTCCAAGTCCGAGTATTTTCCTGTCGATTACCTACATACACCTTTTTCGCCGACGCTGACCTGGAAGCAGGTCAGCTAGCCATATATGGTTCCAGTGATCGAGATAAGGCATAGCCCCGTTATCGAGACATATATGAAGTCGGTGTGAAAAGATGACTTTGATCCCGAATCAGCACCGGGCGCAGGTATGAGCCTCACTCGGAGACAAGGCGGCAACGTCTTTTCCGTGCCCCCGTACAACATGCTGCTTAGGGAGAAAGAGCTCACGAGCTAGCTTATTGGAAGAATTTGTGTGGAGATGGAGGGATCGAATGCTTCACTCTATCCCGCCAACTATTAAAACTCATAAGCAACAATGTAACCTTATGACCACAGTTCATACGCCAAGTTCTTCTCGAAGCACAAGAAAAGCTACCTTCTGGGGTGGTATCTACGACATCGGTTATATCACCATAGCAAGGTGTTGGGGCAACCCGCAGGATCGTTTGCGGCCGACGTTCTAGAATGCATATCCGTCGAAAGATCAGACAGCTCAAAAACTATCTGTATCTGAAACACGCATCGCTCTTTCGGAACCGAACCTGCCAGCACCAGCCAGGTGCATATGCACATGTATACCTCGATATAGTCTACGCTTCCCCGGAACTGTCAAGCCATACGACAGGCTAGCTAGTCATGGGCTTGTTGGAGCATGCGTGAAAGCACATGATGAGATGTAAGATACGGGACCGCTGTCCTGAATTGATGCAGCAGCAGCTTATCCACTCTCTCCGTCCTACACATACACATGCACGCCGCTTGGGCAGATAAGTACGAAGATATCGATAAAGTTGGCAGAGATGCCGAAATGGGAAACGGAGCTTTCATGTCCCGAGATATGATAACAGAGAGGAGACAACAGGAAGGGTGAAAGCGCGCGGCTACCGTCCAAAGACGTTATTCCTAAGACAACACGGCGAGACCGAGCGTCGTCAAACCGGCCGGAACGGGTAGTACTACCCTCTAATAAGCAGTCAAACGGTTAAGCATATCAAATGGCCAGCAGCCGGATGTTTACTACCCGAACTGAAAGTATTCAGAAACCAGAGCTTGTCTTCATACACTGAGGCATAGCTGCTTCACTTTGTTCGTTTTTCTGCCGGACTGCCGAAAGAGCTGCGTTGAACCAAGAAACATCTCAGACCAGCGAATTAACAGTGAAACAAATCTCATTAAAACGGCAGATGGGGAAAATCAAGCATGTCCAGCTTGGGAAAGCATAAGCCGAGCCGGGCCAACCCCCTCTGAGATCCCAAGGAGGAGCTCGAGAATCATCGGACTGTTTCCCAAGCGGCAAAATGGTAAATGAAGTGGACGGGTACCTTGCATGGGGAGAGTTGACTCTTTAGTCCTCAGGCCACCGAGGTGGTGTCGTCTCCGACTCGGAGGAATCCTTCTTCCAGTGCACAAACATCTACAAGGGCGTCTCATCTTACATCACCTAAAACAACTTCAATCTGGCATCGGTAGACCAGCAACCGGTTTCACTAACCTGTAAGGGGGCGCTAGAGCGGGCGCTGCTCTCTGGCCCCTCGGAGAATAAACAGACAGCGTACGAGGATGCAGCCAGGGAAGGGCCCAAGGAACGTTCGAGGAACACTTAAGGAATACTAAAGGAATATCCAAGGAATCGGCTTGATGCAGCTAGCGGCTGATGGTTGGTGTTGATGGTGGCACATCTGTTACCCGCCTTCCTATTTCTATCGGTGAGAATGGCTGGTTCTTCCTCGCTGGCTCCTCTGTTAACCGCTTCCAGTGCTCGGAGACTGATGTGGTATACTTTAGGAGTTTGGTAGCACTTGGTGTGCTGACCAAGGGCCGTCCTTGTTGCAGACTACATGCAATAGCGCGATGCAAAGGCTTTTTCTCAATGGATGCCTAGATGTTTCTCATCACTTCCCGCTTCCGTGAGGATATGGCTGCGCCTCACTTTGCGCAGAGACGGTCCAGATCTCCAGCTGTTTCCGTCTGCATGTTTTGCCTACAGGATCACAGCACATACTACTGCATTGTACTTCTCCCAGGAGCCCGGTACGTGTCTGCATCGTCCAAAGCTGAGAGACGCTTCCTTGATTTGCCTTGCTGTAGACGTGCACTCTTGCAGCAGTACGCGCTCGGTGAAGCCAGCCTGCTCGAATCGATGAATCACAGTGGCCGGTATCTGGGGAAGATTTGGCCCGAAGATGAAACTCCTCGCATCTGCCAGTCCAGGATGAGAAATCGAACCCCAAAAGGCCAAGCCATGGCGCAAACCCTGCACGGTGAGCTGCAAGTGGGTAAGCAGCTAGGCTATTGACCAAGATTGCTGATTTGATGACGGGGACTTTCGAGACGGGGTCATGCTTGTACAGCAAAGACATAGCATGCTGCCGGACGATCTTGATCTGCTCCGCAGATTGTGTCACGGCTGTTGACGACGATGGACAACCACGACGCTTGAAAGGGAGCTTCGTCGCTCCTGATTCGCCACATTACGAACCAATCAACACCGTACCTACAAATTCGGAGCCTCCGTCAACGGGTTTCAAACATACAAAGCGATGTCCACTGTCTGGCAGCTGCTAATGGAAGGCCCTCGGGTGGACGTGCCTCCGGTTGAGCGCCAGAATAGGTGGCCATACCTGACGCACACAGACACCTGTGTATCAGATATGCAGGTGTATGCGACTCTGTTACGGTGAGGCGCCTGGCTAATGCGCCTCGAATCCCACTGTTTCTATGTCTACTATTTTCGGCCAGCATAGCCGTTGTTTCTTGGGACGGGAGTAGCTCATTGGACTCTCGCAGAACAGTACAGAACGCTGCACGTGGATGGCCAGTCCTTGTCCGCTGGTCAGCATGGGAGGAGAGATAATAACAGCAACGCAATACCGAACCCCGAAATGCGAAGCAAAGAATAGAGACAAGCGTCAAAAACGTGGTGATGAGAGCGTTTGCACGGCTAGGCGGGGCCAGGGGTGTTGAACGATGATGATTCTGACCCCACCGCGATCGGAGATTTCCCGCCAGCCCGTTGGACTAAGCTTTAGATCCGGCAACCCTTTTTTCTTGCTTGTCTTGAGCCTAAATCACAATGACATACAAGTGCGGTGGCTGACGCTGCGCAGCAACAGATGCCGGCCAGCCTCTGCTACCGTACATTACGCAGAAATGGCGATGTTTGCTCGAAAGGACAACAGTCTGGCTACGGGCGCAGAGCCGACACAAGTCGGCAGCCAAAGGAAGCATCAAGCGCCATCCTTAGGACACGGCCCATGGCGTTTGCTTGCTCGACATTGCACCCGGTCCGTCCCAAGGCAGGGTTCAGGGGTCTACAAGGCATTTCGTGGGAGCGTGACAGTATGGAATTCTACCAGCAGCACTCCCCTCCTAACAGAGGGCACTCTTCGCATTCGCACTCGCAAGACAAGGGAGCAGGGCTTGGGCTAGACATGGCTTACTACACAGACTTTGTACTAC